AGAGGAGGAGGAAGAACCTTTCAGGAGGAGGCGGATGTCTTAGGACGACTCCGACGATCAGTCTGTTTCATGCCTAAGACGGGATCTGGAGCTGTCGCTCAGCCGACAGAGCTCGTCAACCGAAGGAACATTGAGTTCACAGGACGGTGACATTGATGTTAGAATCGAGATGAATTAACATGAACGGACAGCACACGCTACACTACACGAAGAGCCTCGCGGCTTGACTCTAGCGTTATACAGGACCGGCTTGGATTGTGATGCATCTTGAGGCGAAACCAAGGCGTTTTCTTTTGGGATCTGAGCGAGCGAGCGAGCATAGCTTTGTTTCGTCAGCGCGCACGCGGAGTTTTGGGACGTACATATGGGTTGGCAAAGGGAAAAATCAACTTGGCGCACTCCTTTAGGTAAACCTCATCTTACTAGGCAAACACTGGCACATTGAGAGGGCGGTGGAATGATATCACGTTAACTCTGACACCACGCTACCAAAACCGGACTATAGCAGAGTGTTAGACCGGCTTGTTTTTGCTTCACAGACTGACATTCAAAGACAAAAAGGACGGTGCTGATCAAACAGGGGTTCGATTTAGTTTTTTGGGACTATGCTAATATATAGACAGTTGAAGTGAAGTTCTCAAATGATAATTTTGCTTTGCGAGTTTCCCTTCCACTGAATGATCGATCTATATACAACATGACTTACCCTCGGTAGACATCATCTCTTTCCTCCTTTATGCCATGGATTCTGTCAATGAGACCTTAGAAAAGCCACGATTCTACAAAGCTGGTTTAGCGTTCTTGACGAGCATCTCGAAGTATGCCTGGTTCCATTGACCCGCCTCGGGACTCGGCTTGAAGCTGTCTGATTTGCCGCAGAAAGAATCGTACCTAGTCGCTGAGCTGTCACTAGTACCGTCACTTTCGCCACCAGGCTTGACCCACACGAACGAATCGACAAGGCTGGATCCCGTGTTGCTTGTGGGACGAACACCAAATCCAGCACCGTTAACGTTGCACCAATTGCCCCACTCCTCGCGCAGACCAGTGACACCGTTGCGGCCTGTGTCGACGATGGCTTGACCTGGCATGCCTGCGGACTTGAGCTCAGGGGAGAAGAGCTCGATGTACTTCTTCTCGTTCTGTGCTTTGTTCCATTGGGCGTCGGTGGCCTTGGAGAACTCTCCTGGGGAAAGATCCCAGGCGTTCCAGCCGGCGACGTTGGTGGCGACACCGCGGACGGACTTGGGGCTACCGGCGTTCTTGTAGACGGTGGCGAGTTCCTTGGCTCCGGGCTCTGTTGAACATTGTTAGTAAAGAGTTGGCCGTTCGGAGGTGATGGGAGCATGCTTACTCAGGTTGTCATTCCAGCCGAGCCAGCCTCCGTGACCAGCATCGATGTACATGGCGACGTTTGGCAAGTTGAGTTGCTTCAGGGCATATGCGACGCCCTCACGGTAGCCAGAGGCAGAGTCCTTGCAGGTCTGGAGGTTGGAGTTGGTGACCAGGTTGGGCAGGGAATCGGGCTCGACGACGAGAGCGATGGCAGTGTTGGGGTACTTCTTGAAGATGGCAACGATGGCTAACATTTCGTCAGTATGGACCACGTTCGGTCGAACAGAAAGACTTACGGTCAATGTATTCCGTCTTGTAGATGTCGATCTCGCCTACGGCAAGTTCACCGTTGGAGGCCTTGGCTGCGCAATCACGACCGGGCAGATCGTAGATGACGAGCGCAGCAATCTCGCCGCAAGGAACGTCTTTGATGCCGTCCTCAACTATGGAGATCTTGTCACGGGTGTCACTAAACATTCGTTAGTTTGAAATTATGCAAAGAAAGAGCTGACAAACTCACATCCACAGGAACGTTCCAACGTCAGCGACCTTCAGAGCAGCAGATGCCAAGGCAGTATCGGTCATCTGAGCAGCCGCAGATACAACCTCGGAGGAGTAGAACTTGTTGGCGTAGATCGAACGGGATGCAAAAGGGTTTCCGGACAGGGTGACGGGAGTGGCACATGCTGCGGCCTGGCGAGCAGTGATAGGGCCTTTCTCAGTAGGAGAAGGAAGCGCAAAAGCGCCGGTGATGACCGAAGCCACAGCGAAAGAAAAGAGACCCTTCATGTTGACGTCTTGAAGTAATTGCTTGGGTACCTGGATGTGTCGATGCTGGAAGTCTTGGGGATATCGAGAGCTTCTTATATCGCCCTCGGGTGGTATGCTGCTAGTAGCGTGCCAACTCAGCACTCGAATACCTGTTCATCAGGAAGTAGGCCCGTGGAACGCGGAGGTTAGTCTTTGGCTTAGGTCCGTGCGATCGGCGCTTGAGATATGAGGCTTAGATGAAGGATTATCAGCGGCAGCATGGTACTATAGTAAACTTCCAGTCAAGTGATATTAGTCAAGTGGGAGGCGAGAGAGAACATCTTTGAGCGGCTTCGATCTATGTATTAAAGACTTTCATGAAGCTGGCTTTGCGCTGAAAAGGCATTGTCGTCTCGCAATACGCCATCACTGAGGTTGTATCGTGTGCGACTCTTTCGGTACTCATTCCGGGATCTTCAACGACAACATTCTTTACGCGTTGCCTGTAATGGCCTTTGTTACGTTTCCGGTTGCTTGGGTCAAATCCACAGGGTAAATAGATGAACGTTTACATGACACACCATAGGGTCGCGGGGGTGGCCAGTCATCGGGTCTCCTACCCCGCGGTCTTCGCGCTTGACTTCCGGTCCTGCTACGGGTGATCATAATTGGCGATTAGAGCTCGCGAACGTGTAATTTGTTTAGGAGTTGTGATCATATCCTGTGGCCGCTTTTCAGGTGTTGCAGTTTCCACAGGTGAGAACTCAGAGGGAGATAACATCGGACCGAACAATGCATCTGCGAGCTATTCGATCCATCGAGAGGTAAATTGACTGCATTGTGCGATTGATACGGGCGATGTTCCTCATTACTACAGCAGTGACTGACATGATTGGAGTCAAAAGGACGCGAATCAGCGCGTCCAATATAGTTGCATCAACTGTTGATTAGACATCAGAGGCCTATGGTGTAACACAAGCAGGTCCACGAAGGCGACCCGGAGAACCGTGGCGAAAGACCTTCTCGAATGACTAGAATGTACACATGACAGTCGAGATTGATGAGGGTCAAACTTGGAGGTTCCTTGATCTTGCATTTATCCTGATACACTTCGAATCAAATGCTGGGGCGAACGAGGGACCTGGTCATCAATATAGCCAAGTCTCGTTACTGATTCAATATGCCTGAACTAAAGTCGTGTGATACAGGATGAGCACCTATGGTAAGATTCTAGAAAGCGGGGACCGAGAGAGCTTCCGGACACGAGCGGCTGCCTAGTTAGAATAGATGGGAATACGGCAGGATGCCGCGACATGGAGAGCCGCACGAAGGCGCATTGTACCATTGTGTAAGAGGCTTTTCGTGTCGACAGCACCACGTATCCTCACCGATCTCTTGTCGCACTGGATGAATGCCAGCACACAATCGCATGAGAGGACTGCGCATGACGCCTAGCGCTACCCGCGGTGTGGAGAAGGACTCAAATTCGGTTAGCTGAGAAGTCTTGGGAAGGCACAGTATCACTGCAGTCTATGTTCGAACTCGACGGCACACTTCTCGGTACATTACTTCCACTACCATGGACGGGCGTGTGTGAGAGAAAGAACATTCGAAACATCGAAGGCATCGAAAGATTTGGAAATGTTGCAGGGCGGTGGCAGTAGCACTCGAAGGGTAAAATGTGAGTGGTTGAGGAAAGTGAGGTAGTTTATATTCGTGGATGCCGGAGTGGTCGGATAATTAGAGCTAAGATACGCTAAAAGCTTGCCTATTCCAATTTCGTCGTAGTGCCAATATGAAGCTCTGCGCCATTGCCTCGCAAGCCTCGCGCTTGAGGAGAATTTCTGAGCTTGTGTGGACGTCTGAAAACCTTGAGATGATGGAGAGTCTCTAATAAACATGTGCATCGTAAGTAGGCCAGAGGAGACTTCTACGGTGGCTTCCCTAACCGACCCTAACAGTCCTGCTGCAATCCAACAAAATCTTGAAATGACCTTTGAAGACCCCTGTGGCTCTGCGTCTGGGCATCAAGCATATATCCATATTCGTTCTATATTGATGTTACCAGAGTTTGTGATCGATCACGTGCTCTCAGAAGGACAGGTACCTACATGTCGGTAAACGGCACCGGTTACGGGCAGCACAACAGTATTAGTTATGTATATTATCTGCTCTTACCTAAAACCCGTCTATAGCTCTCTTTCGTCCGTCCTACTGTTACCTGTGTTGACAAAGACAAACCAATGTCATAGCACGGACTTTACAGCCAGAGGAATGTTGTCGTACGCTCTGGTTTTCTACTTCTGGTAGCAATAACCTCCCCCAAGTATCGCTCAATGCTGGTCAATCGTCTGATCAGTCAAGACGGATCACAATCATCCCTTGTGATCTGGAATATCAGACGAGAGCCATGAACCGGTTTTTTCAACACGATACACCCCGCAGGCCAGGGCACATCTTGCAAACCATCCTCCAGTATATCACATGCTGCTTCGGCAACAGCAGAGGAAAGAGGTCATCGAGCTTGTAGGCAGATTGATGCTTGGCGAGTTGCAGTGTGAAGGAGGATTGACAAAGTCCTTGAATGGTGCACAGTCCAAGAAAAAGTAGCAAAGGCTGGACGGTGAGCTGGAGTCTAGCCTAGTGAGGAACGAGCTGGGCAACCAGCTAAGATGCAACAAGCACCTAGAGCTGTGGAAGCAAGGGTTGTCGAAAACCTTCTCAGCGCCATGAGAAAGAAGCTGTGTCAACTGGAAAAAGGCGCTTCGGAAGTGCTCTTTTCGGTGGCCAGGCACTCTGAACACGTGCGTGGGTGTTTTATCCACTATCGCTGATGCCACGCGGTTCCCTAGTCATAATGAACGGAGTACTGTACTTCTCGACAAATAATGTTGTTCTCTGATTCTGGCATATTTCTATTCCTGCTGGGAATGGCTTTTTTTTTTTTTTTTTTTTGGAGACGAGGAGACTACAGCTGTGTTCTGAAGTGCTTCAGGCCTAAGCTTCATTCGCGTCACATGTTGTTCAAGACTGGATCCTTCCTGGGACGAGACTGTGTCGATAGAGATGTCGTGCGCATTTGAGCGAGGTAGCTTATTCCGTGATTCCAACGTGTTTCTCGATGTAGCACTTCGGGCTGACAACTTGTATCCTTGAGACGACCCGTGTACGCACATATGCTCACCATGACCGAACCCGGTGCTGAGAGATTCCGTGAATCGCTTGAGCGCAGTGATTGTAGCTGCAGCGAGGGAGAATGAGAGTTCTATAACCTGCCAGATGACCACCATCGCAGCTGCAAGCGGGATGTCGGACGAAGCAGCAAGTCTGAGTATCTTCCTCTGGCGAAGAGCAGAGAACACGAGGGTTCTGTAAAATAGATAGCGGATGTCTCGCTCGTTAAACAGGACTAGATGGCGGATTTGTTGTTCTAGCGATTATGCGAGGCTTATAGACGAATAAATTAGCATTCTACACGGCACTGGGCAACCTTCCAATTTCGCGTCGAGTTATTTTGGAACTAACCTTTTATAGATTAGCGCCTGGCCATCTGATTCCTTCTCCTGGGCAGATCTGCCTCCCAACCCAACTGCTGAACGGTAGTTCGAACAAAATTCCTTGATTCCAGGACCTCGCTACCCACTTCTCCTCAAGTCCTTGTCATCTCAGCTTTGCCAGGGCTTCTTTCTTTTCGAAATAAATCACGATGCGGGGTATTTAGATGGGGGCAGCCAGTTGACTTGTACTGGTACAAACATTGTCAAGTTTTGGCTTGGAAAATTGATACATCCAACAACTAAGATGTCGCAGCCTTTGAAAGAAGCCGATATCATATTTCCGCATCTCTCCAACACACCAAACCTCTCCAGTACCCTCTCTTCTCTACGCCGCTCAACACTATCAACGCAAAACCGCCTCGCCTCCATCGTCTCAGACAGCGAATTCATCACATCTGTCGGATCCGCCTATGATCTGCCTCTAGTGGCAAATGAGCGGTGTGGCAGTTGGTATATTCCGCCCTTTCAGAAATCCGGATCTGTCTATTTCAAAAGCACGGACGGCCATATGGGTGAATGGAGCTTCAGTCTGAGAAGACTGAACTTGCAGTTGTTAGATGTCATAAAGAGCTATGGGGGTGCGGTGGTTGTAGATAGTACGAGAAGGGGGAAAAGTATGCCAGACGCGTTGAGCAAAACGATCCCCATATGGTGCTGTGTCATCAACAGGGCTGTTTTTGGCAGAGAAGAAAAAGGAGAAGTGAAATTGTTTTCTCCGCCGCAAGCGGTGAGCGAAAGTGAGCATGCGCAGATGGAGACGAAGATAGATGGGTTCGTGCGACAATTTATGGTGCGTATATTGTTTTGAAATTCTTGAGGATATCAGTTGATAGCGAGAAAAGGAAATCTGCAAGCCAAACATCTCGGAACTTCGCAGTAAGCTACAGAAACCACTGAGGCCGATCTGGGCGACACAGCTATCATCTCTTCCGGACTCAGCCCCTTCTTTTCCGGACTTTCATCCCATCGTGCTCTGCACAGCTTCACGACGTGTGCGCGGTGCCGAGGCATCAGAGAGCGGGTATATCCAGGGTGCCGCTGATGACCACGAAGCATGGTCGCACGGGCTGACTCCGACACTATTCTGGAAGCATAAAGATGTTTTGATGAAAACGAGTGAGGAAGACATGCCTACCCTGATTGAAAGACTACTCAAAGAAGAGGGGGGTAGCAGTGCAGTCGCAAGTTTGATCAAGCCGACATCGAAACTGCACATCTCAGCTAGTGATCAGATGAACATTGCTGGCTTCGAAATGGTGGTAAGCTGCACACCGGAGCCGTTCGCCACCTCAAGGCTCAAGGAAGCTGGAGTCAAGCGCTATCTACATCTCAAATGTCAAGTAGGCAAACTAGGATCGCGTGATCTGCGTACTCAGCTGCCTCAGCTTCTACAATTTTTCTCATCATTTGAAACACCGACGACCGGAAACATCCTTGTATGCTGTCCAACAGGCAAAGATCTTTCTGTTGGTACAGCTCTGGCCGTGTTATGTCTTTACACCGATGAAGACGGAAATATAGATACAAGCAAGTCAAGAGAAGCAAAGGATATCGGAAAAGTCTTTATCAAGCAAAGACTGAGCTGGATAACGACAAGCAACCCGGCGCTGAACCCGAGTCGTACTACACTCCAAAGTGTCAATGCTGTTCTACAAGAAAGCCAAGATCCAAAGGCCTACTCGCAGACCAAGAATCATGGCATAGGTAATGGTAGCTTTACTACATCAATACCAATCAGAGAAACGAGGCAATTACCACAAGAACCAGAAGATTTACAAACAGGAGAGGAATCTCGAAACGAAAAGCCACAACAAAGCTCGTCTTCAATAGCCAAAAACATCTTCGAGAGCCTACGTAACTCGGCAAACACATCATGGAATTTTCAACGCACGCTGCGCTCCTCATTACCCACACATCCTTCTGGCACCGTGGCAGGCATAGCGACATTCACGCCCTGCAACCTACCGGATAACTCTCGACCAACGCTTCTTTACGCCGAACAAGGTGACTTCATCACCGACACGGGACTGAAGTTCACTGCGCGGAGGAAATACGTTTATCAACTCAAACCTAATGATGATGATGCTAGGGGAGAATACATCGCAGTCCGCTTCTTCAACGACGAAAAGATGCCACGAGCGGAGATTGAAGATGGTGTTGGAAAGGGTGGTGAAGGAATTGGCGGGTTATTTGTAGAGATGGGTGACCTTGAGGCTGATGGGCGTGAAATGAAGGCGAAGAATAAGGAAACACATCTCTGTGCCAAGGACCTGTATACGGCGAGTTGGAGGTTTGGCGAGGGTCTTGTTACAGGGGGCGCACAAGACATTTGGTGGGAGGTACGCTATGATGTTAAAGGGCCCCAGAAGGACTACGTGGGCACTACGCGATATACTCTTGTTTGAGGGTAGAGCGCAAAGGAAGAGAGAAGATATGAATATAGGGTATCAAGCCGGTCTACATAACACAAAAGTCCACACTCTAGAAACTGCGATGCAGCAAAACATGACCCTCTACGATAGCCATTGATTTCATGACTTCACCCTTGTAACCTTCATTACGATGTTTGTAATTTTCATGAAAACATTGACGATCAGCGCCAATGCAGCCGTCGGGACGAAGATTTGTATCCACTCATACCAAAGCTTCGGCCGGACGTCAGTCTCGATCCAGCCAGCACCTTTTAGCGGGGCTCCACCATCCACGCTGGGTGTTTCGCCTTGGTCTGCTGGAAAACGCTGGTTCTCAACGAAGTACTGAAGTAGATCGTCCTTCTCGCGCCACCGGGCAAGGAGCCAGTCGCTGAAGATCTTTTCGTCATGAAGAGGTATATCGGCGATGGCGAAGCGGCGCCAGTACATGTTCACGGACTTTGGCGGCCGGCCTTCGAAGTAGGTACTGTACAGAGTGAAGAGGTCCTGGCCATACTGACCGACGCTGTCGGGAGTCAGCAATGTATTTTTTTCACGCTATGCAAATCGGACTTACGGGACACCTTCGTACGCCATGGTGCAGTCGTACAGATAATCGACAGAACCTTGCAGTTCCTGCAAGCAGAAAGACAAGCCTGTGCTTCGCGGCAGCAATGCATGTCTCAGATCTTCAATCTGGTTCTTCTCCGCCCACTTGTTGCTCGAAGCGCGACCGTTTTTGCTGAGGTTTGTGCCTTCAGGGAAGATGAGCAACCACATTGGATCGAGACCGTTAGAGCCAGATAGTGGACCACTGTGACTGGTGCTCAGCTTCCTCAACCTATGCTGGAAGCGTTCCTTATCCGTGGACCATTTGCGTGAGAGGAAGATGAAGCCATATAGCATCATGCCCCAACCGAGGATGGGGATGTATTTGAGCGACTCCTTGAGGATGATGTAGAGGTGGCCATGCATGGAAGCGCTGTATCCTATCCACCAGAGGTAGACCCAGTCAGTGTAGATCTAGTGGGTGTCAGCTCTTGGCGTCGCATAAGCGGTTACTTGGGAAGGCGTACCTGGTGGTTCGAGATGAGGACCATTCTCTCTGGAAAGTCGCATTCCATCATTCCGTCCTTGTTCTTCCTCATTTGTCCTCGCACGCTCTCGTCTCCACTGACGCGCATCGTGACGGGCGCCCACCAGTACGTCATGGTGGTGACGACGATGCTAAAGTGCTGCTTTGTCATGGCCATCCACGCGTAGAAGAGGTCTTTGCTGTAGAAATACAGCGGGAGGCCGATGTATTGCGTAATGGCGATGCTGAGAGAGGGCGTTAGTAGCCTATGGGGGCATTAGCTGTGGGCAATACTAACGCTATGATGCTGCCGTTGAAGTACGCTGCGAAGAGACACATGCGCATGGCTTGTGCAAAGACTCCATGTTTGACTTGGCCGGCCGGGTGCTGCGTGGGGTCGGGGAGTGTTTGCTCTGCGGGAGCCTTGGTCCGTTGCGCCTTGAGCTTCTCGATGACAGGGACTGATGCGGGCGGCTGGCGCTGCCGGATGCTCTTGGTGGACATGGTGCTCGAGGTGTGGACATGCGTAGGAAGGGTGTAGGCACTTCACTTGGCTAGGGAATAGGACAGATAAGGCACCGGTGCGCGTGCACCTGGGTCGGCGTGGTCGGATGCGGCGGGGGATGGGTGCTGAGAGCGCGTGCTGTGGTCTGCATTGGGCGTCTTAGGCTGGACGCGCCTGCAAGCGTGGCGTCGAGGTGCGAGGAAGCAGTCGAGGTGCGAGGAAGGTCGCGGCCTATGCGCATCGTGTCGTGTCTTGTCGGCGGGCGCTGGAACCTGCTGTTGCCGATCCGCAGCTTTCCATGCCAGCATCATGACACCGGCCAGAGTTACCCCACCCCGTACAGGGATAGCTCTGCCTGTGCGGGCGCTAGTCATATCCGGACACGTTCACTCGCAACCCTCACCCTCACCAGAGGCCCAGACGATGGAGATTAGTCGCCGGGCCAGCATTATCTCCGCCCGTTAGCATTCACTCCACGCCCTTTGGCGCGCGAGAGACATGGACGCTGCCGTCCTATCGCGGCTTACCCTTCCAAGCTTTGCGCACAGCATCGCCTGGAATTTTGGCCCTAGTCTTGCACCGCCTCCCCAACCATGTTTGTGCCGCATCGTATCTTGCCATGGCGCCTCCTGGCTTTGCCCGCGCAGGCGCGTGCTTTCTCTTCGACTTCGCGTCGTCTTGACATCAGGCACGTGTCCGAGCTTCCCTCGCGCACCAAGCCGTCATACATACAGTCGTCCAACACGCTGCTGAGCCTGCAATGGCCCTCGCCGCCGCGCAACATCCTCGTCACCAAGAAGAAGCGCACACCAAACATCACCGAGTCGGTCATTGAATTCACATCGCACATACGCTCCACTTACCCATCCATCAACGTCATCTTCGACCCGGACACGGCCCAAGAGCTGCACGAGCAGCTGTCGTTTCCCGTATACACATACACCCAGAGTCAGGGCGCACCACACCATCTTTCGGATAAAACCGACTTGGTCTGCACGCTTGGAGGCGATGGAACGCTGCTGAGGGCCAGTAGCTTGTTCAGCCATGCGGATAACGTACCTCCAGTCCTGAGCTTCGCCATGGGCACCATCGGCTTTTTGGGCGAGTTCAAGTTCAGGGAATACAAAAGAGCATTCCGAGAGGTGTACATGAGCGGTGCGCCCGACACGTACTCTACCCTGTCCGATTCACTAGGAACGAGTCCTCCTACTCCCCCAACCTCGCCAGACGATCCTTTGGATAAGCCACTAAGCTATGCCGACATACGCGGCAAGGCTATGGGCAGCAACAGAACAGCGCGCATCTTGCTGCGTAACAGACTGAAGGTCGGCGTCTTCGGGCCCGACGGGAAAAGGATAGGCGGCATCGAGGGCCAGGGCGACACGTACGCACTGAACGAGGTTACCCTCCACCGTGGCTCCAGCCCGCATCTGAAGATCATCGACGTCTACATCAACAACCGCTTTCTTACCGAGGCCGTCGCCGACGGCATGATCATTAGCTCGCCAACCGGGTCGACAGCATATTCGCTATCTTCTGGAGGGAGCATTGTGCACCCTCTCGTATCATCCATATGCCTTACGCCCATCTGCCCTCGATCGCTTTCCTTTAGACCACTGGTGCTCCCTGCTGAGACACCAATCACGTTGCGCTTAGGCAAGAAGAACCGCGGTCGCGAAGTCGAGGTCAGCATCGACGGGAATACAATCACCGAGAAGCTGGGCACGGGTATGGAAGTCCGAATAGGCGGCGAGGTAGTCAAGCGAGACGCTCGAGGTTGGGAAGGTGGCGTACCCAGCATCGTACGTGGTACGAATGGCAAGGAAGACATGGCTGAGGATCATTGGGTTGGTGGGTTGAACGCTCTCCTCAAGTTCAACTACCCATTCGGTGATCAGGAGTCTTAGACACTCTTCAGTGTTCATCACCATGGCTAAGCAAGAGCCACAAACCTTGGTTAAGTCCACCTTTATGGCTTTACAGATGGGTTGCTCCACCCAGCACCCTATGGTTTACATTTCGCTCTTACAACGAAGAGTGTGGACCATGAGATCATAACAACGGACAACTGGGCTTATAGCGGCGCATGTATTCGAAAGTAACAAATCAGCTATACTCACACTAGCTTGTGCCAGGCCGCCTGCGACCCACAAATTCCTCCAGGGTCAGAGTGCTTCCTCGCTGAACCTGACCCGTTATCAACGTATTCGGGCTTACATCGACCCGTGACTGCTCTTGTTGATCTAGATATACCAGACTCGCCCGCCACAATGGAAATCGACTAAACCTAGCAATTGACACAATCAACCACTTCATCGACTTGCGCCCCGATACATGCATTGGTGCGACTGCGACTGTTCAATCTTCACCACCGTGGCTGTTCTTCCATGTTCCAGCGTAGTGATGGGTTACTAACTGTGGAGATAGTATCGCCTCCTCTTCCGGGCTATAGGTGTTTGTCATCGGCGCGAAAGAGCGGCCCGGCATGAACAGCACGTCTCCGACAAGTTTAGGCTGCAGAAGCTCCTCCGTATCACTGCCCACCAAATTGCGGTTCGTCATGCCACCTAGGCTCTTGTATACCGCACTCGTTAGACGTCTCGGGCCTGTAAACTCGACTGTGTCTCCCATGATATCCATCGTGGTATTCTCGACTGTTATACCGTGTTCAGCTGTCTTATCAGCCAGCTCCTGCAGGATGTCGTTGATGCACTGCATCAGATGTGGTGACCTGGGCTTTGCCATGATGGCCCATATTTCCATCTGGTGCAGATAATTACCCGGCCACCCATGGTCGAACTCCCAGCCCACAACAAGACTCGTGTTTCCCTTGTACTCCGCTGGGATCCAATCGTCGATGGGTATGCCCTCACAAGAAACGTCAAGATCGAACCAAATGCCACCCTGGTCCCAGAGTAACAGGTAACGAAGGATATCCGCCTTCCATATAGGGACTGGTAGCGCTAGGAAGTTGTCGACAATGTCGGGCCGAGACGCGAATGTTTTGCGAACATACTCGTCGCTGCTTTCATCGGTCATGAAGCGCGCTTCGTATTCGGGGTTGGGCTTGATGCAACTATCGGTCCAATTCCGCGCTTCCTCTGAGAGGCCACGTGGCCCTAGCTTATACCATATCAGTTTGGGTATTCCTTCATACTTTGGTATTGTAGTCGCTCCTTGAATGTGGACTGCAATATTATCTTGGACAGAGCGGAGAGTGCAGATCTGGTAAATGAAGAAAATAACACACAAGGCGACGAGTGAGTGATAGCTAAGAAACCTGAAATGTAACCGTGCTAACATAATGAAGGTGTAGGTTGCTCAATGAACGCTGGTGGCAAAGAGTCCAAGGTGAGTCGATGTATAGGGTTCAGCATCTACACCAGCCGTCATAAGGCTGAAGCACGATCGCTGACGACGAGAGGCTATGCAGTCTCAAAGTCAGCCCAGAACTAGAATGATTCTTAGACTATCCCTGTCACTTTCGGAAATGAATGGTGCGGGTTACTCAAGAGGAAGGATCCAACGAAAACGCTCAGTGTGACGAGGTGGTACAACATAAGCAGCCACGCGCGTAACAAAGGAGTTGCATTCCTCAACGTCACGGGTTAGCCCTATTGGTCAATAGGACTCCACAATCAATGTTGTGAATCGCGCACGCTCTCGGCCCACGATATATATACACCCGCACCGGCACGGGGGTTTCACACAAACTGGCCCTTGGAAGGTTGAGAATGTTGTGTCCAGTAATGTCTTATCGTGGAAAAGCAAAATATGTCTCAGTCTGATTCTATGCCCAATGGGCTGAAGAGGTTATACGAAGCCTTCACGGACACCAGTGAATGACCAGTACTTATGCCAGTTGCCAGCTCCAGATCGTCACACGCAACCTGGGAGGCCTATCCAAAGGTCTGCCGCATGCGTGGTGTTACGCTCCCAATTCTGATCAACATACGTTCTTGTGCGTACACCGATACTCTCTCTTGCCACGCTATCAGCCACGGCAGAATCGTCATGGTATTGGAGGAGCGGATCAGACAGCCCATTTCCCGCTCGACCATGACATTGACATCGATATCGTGATTCTCTGCCTGTAAGCCTGAAGCATGACTTCGCGCGAACTTGCTTTCAGCCCCCACGCGCAAGGTCTTGAAGCGTTTTGCTTCCACAAGCCGCCTGATTCAGCCTCACGCACTTCCTCCTTTCAAATCACACTGCTTTGATTCGCTTGTACCCTACGGAACTTGTCAAAGTCGCCCCCTATCCTCTCATCTACTTGCCTCCCTGAACATCAGTCCTTCTCGCTTGGTTGTGCCTCTACTGGAACATTGAGTTATCGTATTCGACATCCTGTCTTAATTCCCAGCACTCATGCAATTCATCGTTCCGCCGTCGAATCCGACACCATTGGACTTCAGCGATGCGCAGGTATACTATTTAGGTGACAAACTCACGATCTACTGGACGGAGCCACCGACTGGCATCGCCTCATCTATTCTCTTATGGCAGGCAAACCGGACGACGGGCGTACTCGTTGGAGACAAGCAATATATCACACGTACGAGAAACCATCATGTCTGACATCTATCGGAGTAACTCTGACTAACGATGGTGGACAGAGAGTGTCGTAAACAAGACTGACGTGGTTTGGCCTATCACGACTGACTTCAACCTGACCTTGTCGAACCTGTTCCAGCTGACCCTTTACCAAGAGGGTGAAGTGGACCCAGTCGATTTCAGTCAGTATCTCTATCTCGAGAATAAGGCCGACTCGGTATCGGCTTCAATTTCGTCGCCTTCGTCTTCACTCCTATTAAGCTCAACAGCCTCTGCAACAACCTCTTCTTCCAGCGCAGGAAATTCGATACAAACCAGTGTAACAACAGCCGTACCCATTCCCAGTTCAGCCTCGCCCGCGAGCAGCTTCCCCACGTCAGCTAAAATTGGAGTTGGGGTTGGGATACCTGTCGCGCTCCTCCTCGGATTGATCGTCGGTTTCCTCTTGTTCCGTCACCACAAGAAAAAAGGGGTTGATCGGCGGCCCAAAACACCCAGTTCTCAAGTCTCCAAGCAGTACAAATATGGTCATTACGCACCTCCTTTGAACGAAGCTCCACCTGATAGCTTGATAGAGTTGGATCCGCAGCACGCAGCGGGGGTGCATGCACACAAGCCACCAAATGATGGGGCACCGCCAGTGAGATACGAGATGTAGTGAGTGGATATTTTGTCGACGAAAGCACATTGGTACATGAACAGAGAGTGAAGCATTGTTCCAACCACACGCGAATTCTTACCTGTATTCAGCGACTATTGCCAAACTTTTGCAAACTGTAACATAACCTTGGTTAATTGATAAATCAAATCAAACCCGCTCATCATAATGCAAAAAGGTAGTCATGACTTGACGGTTCTGTCGACGTTGCCTAGATGCTGACTATTGACTACTGTCAGTCTGCTTACTTCCGCCCTATTGGTGTACGACAACACGAAAGATGCTTTGCTTGGCCGCCTTGCCGATTGACACATCTCTCTTCGGTTAGTATCTCCCCCAAGCCTGGGGACTGGCCAACACCATTTTCGCAGGTAGGCACGAGTATGCAAACTCACATCAACCTGCGCAGCGCCACCGCCACCGATCCAAAGTGTCTCTCTGTGTAGCAGTGACTGCATGAGCGGAAATTACGTTCGATATGAGCCTCACCAGACACGTTTGAGATTGTGTCAGGCAAATACCCCGTCACTAAGCATCGACTCAAGTCTGGGTCGGGCGTTGAACGGGAAGACTGAAAGTGGGTAAGGCTCCGCAATCACGACAGTAGGGCGACGCCGTTCATAAATGCTGTACGTACTGAGCCTCCGAAGGTTCGCACCACAATAATTGATGAACGTTCATAGATCGCAGTGGTTCTTATTGGAAACGATACGAGGACAACAGGGACAAGTTGAAAACAAATCACAAGGATAGGAAGTATGAGAGACCAAACAAAGGTAGGTCTGCCCAACACAAAACCAAAACAGCGTGCTCGAATGCGACATAACAAACTCGTTCTTCTTCCAAACCATGCAAACGAAAAGTAGTGACCCCTGAAACGACACGAAACGAGCAGACGACCCCACTAAACCACCACCAGAAAGTATCAGCCTATCCGGATATTGTCGAATGTCGACCCATGTCTGGTTTCTTCCCGTGAGTACCTGGGGAGGAAACCTGAGCGCATCGAGCCTGTGGAAGGAGTGCGACCAGACGGAGGGCTGGTATAGGTGTATTTGACATCCTCGAATGGTGTTACTCCGATGACGGTCTCCGACAGACTGTCGTCATTAGGTGTCTCCATCGAGTCGAGCTCGATACCCTCGTCGACCTCAGTATCCTTTGATCTATTCGTGTTCCGATCAAACTTCTTGATGCAGGCCATAAGCAGTATCATGAAGAGCATGTAGCCTAGTAGGCTGGTTGTCCATGCGAGGATAATCGTGCAAAGCAAATAGACGTCTCCAGCAGGCGGGTTACGGATGAGGATGTTTGTGATGTCGTTGATAATGTCCTCGCTGGGTGCTTGACTCATGGACGATGGTATGTGGGTTGAGTCACTATATTTCCAGTAGATATCGCCACGATGGTTGCGGAAGTCCATACCCAGCGTTCTATACACGGATTTAACTTTCGCCCAGCCACATAGTCTACCACTTTCGAGCATGGTAGTCTTGTAACGGTTGGCCACTAGAGCATTGGTGAGGATGTTTGGGTGATAGGTGGTGTATCTCGTGACAATGGCGTAGTCAAATATCTCGTTTTCTCGTGGGTCTTTGAACGTGATCGTTGCGCTGCCGAAGCCAGTGTACGAGAGGTTGACAATACGCTGATCGTGGTTCTTGGCATTGTCGAGACGCGGCACGCTTTTGGCGAGAATTGAGGCAGGTGAGAGCAACAAGAAGAGAAGTGAAATCAAGAGCATGGCCTCGGTGCGAAAACAGTGTTTTTGACGTGAGTAATTGAATACTACTCGCTTTGAAATGCTTCGCCAAAAGAGTTGCGACACCGGAAGAATGGGGAGGGATGTGGAGAGAGGTGAATGGGCGGGAGGGCGATTTCTTATAGGCAGACATAACTGCAAGCATTTTTCCTCGAGGCAGGTAAGATGCGATGACATGGGAAGGAGAATAGCACCTGCGTCATACATGTCGCGAAGTTCAGGTATGGGAAGGGAGGAACGACGACAATACATTTCATTTCCGACTATCGCTCAACCTTTGACAAGCGTGTGCCCATCACGAGAAATGAAGTTTTTTCCAAGATTCAAGGCCAGACCAGGAAAAGTCAGAAATCTGACCAGCGGAAGAAACAATCGAAATTCTTGTGTCTCAATAAAAGAGACGATCGAGGGTACTGCCTCCATATCTTCTTGTCACAAGCTATACAGGTGTTGATGCTGCAAGCGTGTGCTAATTCTTTACCATTGCACTCTTCTCCGTGCACTTCTCAGCAGGTGTTGAGGATGGCATTCGATATGTGAACATTCTTGAGAGCTACGTGGGCCTGTCCGTTCGGATGGGCGTCTTTGACATGGGAGCATAAAATTCTTTAGTATGTGCTCGTACATCGTGAGGTGAAGTTTGGCTGGAGATCGACAAACCTGAAGAGAACGATTTGGGTGGGGTGCGGTCTCGACTTTGTCGTAGCGTGTACTTCGCTGTAGGCCGGAAAGAAATGATTCGTAGAGGCACTTAGATGAAGCAGGATATGGAAAAGTAAAAGTGAAGATACATTCACAGATGTGTGTCTTGTGTAATCGTGAGGGTCGTGTTCTCCGTTCTAGTACTTACGGTCCAAGCGTCCTGTGCAATCGATTACACATCATCCTAACCTAGTGTCGCTCTAACCAACCAGTCACACACTTACGTGTCAGCGAGGACATCCTCGGTAGCCTTTTCGCTGATCATCATAGTAGGCAGCACTGGGAAGCCTCCAGGCACCTTAGGAAACGAGCTTGCATCCACAACTCGTAAACCCCTTGTTCCTCTCACTCTGAACTTGCTATCCAGTACGGCGTACTTGTCTCCATCAGTACCAATCCTGCAACTACTACTAGCATGGTGGCTGTAAGCCTGCTCTTTTATGTACGCCTTCTGGCTCTCGATTGTACAGTTTTGCTTCCCAATCACGCCTTCACATGGATGCAGCTCGCGGAAAGGAGCCAACGAGTCAGGTGCCGATGGATCTACTTTCGACAACCAGGAACGTACCCATTCGGCACCCTCGTAGATAGCTTGAAGATCTTCCTCTGCTCCATCTTTGAAGAAGTTGAGGTTAATGGCAGGAACGTCACGCGGGTCAGCAGATCGAAGTTCAACCGTACCCGCTTGGGAGCGTGGGTTCATATGAACCATTGCGCATTCGTACTGCGCTGGGCCGTAGGTCTCATTAAAGTATGGAGGTCGGTTGGGAAAGCTGCCGGTAGGTTAGCGGATATTCAAAAAATTGTGTGAACAGCTGCAATTGCATACCCTGGCCAGAACCCCTCGAAGAGGAAAGAACCACACCACATATAGATGTCTCGGATTCCCAGTTGCGAAGTAGAAGTCTTCCAAAAGTTTGGATAGACCTCCGACATGCCAGTAACGGTACGATTGCCTAGCGATAAGATACCAGCCTCATAGTTGTCAGCCATCTGTTTGCCCACGCCAGGCGAGTCTACCACTGGTGTAATGTTAAACTTGGCAAGTTGCTTAAGCGGACCGATACCGGAAAGCATGAGGAGCTGTGGCGAGTTGAAAGCTCCCCCAGAGATGATCACTTCCTTTGACGCGAACACCTTCCCCACAACGCCTTTGACGTTAGAGTTGTAACGAGGATCAGCACTGTAAAGACTCTTCCCATGCAGGTACTCAATACCGATTGCTTTTGGAAGACCTGGATAAGCTTTGTCGAACATGATCTTGGTTGCTAACGTGTCCAGCGAGATAGTCAGCGGGTACTTACCGGAAGCAGCCGTATCTCGAGCGTAAAAGCCGGGCGACGACCGACGTCCATTGGGGTTGATATGAGAGACCCCTCCAAATGGTCCGACAAGATGATCGCGACCGGATTGAGCCCCGTTCATGTCGCGCTGTAGTAGTGTTGAGGTGGAAGACAAAGAGTAGCCCGCAGCTTGTGCAGCTAATCCGCTGAGCTGCTTAGCATCTGCGCTGGTCGTGTAGCCAGGGTCCAGCATAGTCATATCGAGCCAACCGTCATGACCATGTTCGTATGTGCTGTTGTAATGCACTTTTTCAAGCTTGACAAGATATTTCCTCATATTCTCATGCGACCAAGAGTCGTCTCCAGTCATGTCGGCGATCTCATCCCAATCCGCATCGTTGGGATTCATCGTCAAGCAGCCATTATGCATAGCACAGCCCCCTAGAGTGCCTGCGCGTGGGTAGTACTGTATATCCAGTCAAAAGCCGCGTTAAGCGAATGAATCTGATATACTTACAATTCCCAGAGCGGTAGAGTCTTCGGGGGGCACAGTGCCAACGTAGAAGCTGCCATCTGGCGTGCGCCAAGTTCTATGCAAGTATCTTGCTTCCCTGGCTTCGTCATCAGAGTGCTTCACGAAGAAATCCCATCGCTAAACAATCCGTTAATTGTGTATCGGTCCAATTTGATCACACACTTACTGTGGCCGGGTCGTTGCCTGCCATATTGAAGTTCAACCAATTGGAAACGTTGACGTTCTCCGTCTGGTCATCTCCAGCTTCAAGGAGCAACACAGAGTGACCGGCTCTGGCAAGATTGGAAGCAAGCGGTCCACCGCCAGGTCCAGAGCCTACAACAATGTACTCATAAGTTTTATTATCAATCGATATAGCGGCGAGAGCTTTGAAGCTCATTAAAGCAAGAGCCGCGACAATTGAGTTGAGGGGAGCCATGATGAACGAGATCTACAGGAGACTGAATGCATCAATAGCAAGTTGAGATGCTCGAGCTCAAGTAGGTTCTCTCTCCTAGCTTGAGCTCACCGGTAAGGGTCATCTGCAAATATTGCCGGATATGCAGGCACAGAGCGCAATCAATGCAAGGCTATTAGTTCACCCGACACGATGGCCCGCCATAAGCATAGATCCTCTTTCGGCCAATACTGGCGAACAAGACAAAGTGTACAACTCGCGTAACGTCTTCTGCATATATCCCCTAGAATTTGCCATGCTAGATTGAGTGCCTGGGTGGGATTGCAAGCACTTATTGGTCCGCCTATACCGTTGCATATCGTACTGCATAATCGACGCAGTAATGGAGTTCTATTGCTGATGTCAGCTTGCAGGCTGTTAACATGTCTGCGTTCGAACGGTGAAGCTGTAGACACCAAACTAGTTTTGCACGCACTGGTCGCAGAAGGCTACGGTGTTGGATACGTCCGATGTCCGTAGGTTGCTGGAGTGATTTGAAGTGGGTGGACGTCACTCATTAGCAGGTAGTTTAGTAAAACGATCGCGATATGAAAATCCGTGGTGAATTTTCTGAAGATTCTTTGCCCATATTCATCCAAAGTTCTGAAGATGCAGATTCAAAGATACCTCAAGCGCTGTTGATGTTGGCCCGTGCTCGATGGATGAATTTCAGCAATCTTGGGAGCCCATTACCTTTGCGGCTTGCGCATCGACATCGAAGCTTCAACTTACGGAAGTCTGCAAAGCGCCGAACTTTTTAGAGACAGACGTGTTCCTTGGGCGATGGGGCATTCAGCGCCGCTCAGCCTCAAACAAATTCATCGGTTTCGTCGACCGCCTCATCGTCTCCTACCGCCTCCTCGCCCATACCGTGAAGCAGCTCTTCCTCAACAAGCGGCTCAGACTTGATCTTTGTAGCAGTAGTCGCCTTCTTTGTGATTCGCCCAGTCTTGACAGCTATATGCTGAATCAGTAAAGCAAAATAATGAAAGAAGGTGTTCGCAACGCATACCGCCCTTGGAAGAACCAGCGTCGCTCTTCTTGGTGCGTGTCTTCATCGGACTCTTCACAGCGCCGTCACGGTCTGCTGCTTCATCTTTGAGCGTTGCAGCTTCCTTCTTGTATCTACGCATCCGATTCTCGAGGGCGTGATAGGTCACATCCTCGCCATAGATGCGAGCAACTTCGTTGATGTTGATCTGCGTGACGCTAAGGTTAGTGTGGCTGCTACAGGGGAATAGTGGTGGATAGTTCCACGTACCTTGTTGTCAAGAGAGGCGAGAGTCGCGATGAAGAGGCGCTCGAGAACGTCTTTGTCATTCCAATTGACCGGCATTTTGGCGACAGCACTGCTGACTGTCAGCAAGGGTCGGGTACGTACACGTCATTTCGAGCACATTGGGAAAGACCTCTAGCGGCGGTTCTGTATAGTTGGAATGGCCAGAAAAGGCACAAGGTGGGGTTGTGTAAACCTGTGTCGAGCTGTTGCGACGACTGCAGGGAACGCGCGCCCGTCGATTGGAGCAGTCATTTATGCAGGAACAGACTCACCTCTTAAAGATAGCGGACGGAGTTGTTCTGTGAAACAAGACGTCGTGAATCACCAGTGTCGGCGTGTTGGGGTAGTCGAATGCCCGACAGTAGAAATTGCGACGGCGGATTGTCCGAGATATGCGTGGGAGGAAGTGAAGGCGATGTCTAAAAACGGCGGGCCAAAGCTCAGTCCACTACCTTTCTCCGCCTTCACACCGCTCGCGTAATTCCTACGATAGACGTGGTAAAGGCAAGCAAATCGCTTGAACCGCGCATGGTCCACACAAGGCCATCTACTACGCGTAATACATGCGTGGGGGACAACAGATAGAACGGGCCGTCTACGAAAGCACTCAATCGGTATGATGAGATGGTGATGAGAAATGGCTCCGAGGATCTAGAAATGGTTTGGCTGCGGCAGTCGTTATCGCGTGCTCAAGGAATGATGTTAAAGTTCAGAGTTTCCAAGCGGTCCTCGGCCATGACAGATCATGTTTGATCAGCGTCGTAGGCTCTAGGGCATGGGTCCTGCGTGAGAACTTGACATTATCTGCTCTCCCACTATCTCGTCACCTCCTGACCTTTTTACCTTCAGCTTTATGCCGTTTCGCCTCCTCTCTTGGGTCAATGACCAACAGCTCCTCTTCGTTCTTCCGCTTCCACTCGAGATCCTTGCCCAGTCTGTCTTTTGCGAAACTCAGCGAATGTGACATCCATCCCGCGTCGTCATCTGACTCCTCTTCATCCTGCTTGTCCCAGGCTTTGCAAGACTGGCAACCTACTATGAAATGCAAGTCACATGCAGCCTCGTCTTCATCATTGGCTCCATTCGCATTTCCATTGGAGTTGCCATTCGTTGCGTCCTCGGGTAGTGTCGGTGTGACGGTCTTGGGGGCTGCGGTGGAGTCGGCTGATTCCAGTTTCGACTTGAATCGGGAGAGGATGTCCAGCGCGGATTGTTCGTCCTTTGCGTTGCCACCAGCCCCTCGCTTCCTTCCTCGTGTTGTGGATGTCGGCACCATGGCCTCTAGTAGCGACTTCTTTTTGGCCGGCCCTGTATCTTGGGCGGATGTGTTTCGTTTCATGGATGCCTTGAGGTCGGCGATCTGCTGGTTCACACGGTCTAGTTTCGATCGTTTCTCAGATTCAGGCGAAAGCTCGCGTGGTGGACTTTTGGCTTTGGGCTTGGGTGGCGACCTGAGCGCGGCTTTTGGAGCGGGTTTGGGTGACGGAGACGTCGGCGGCGATTTTCGGGATGGCTTGCGTATGGGTATTTCTCTCGTCTCCTCGGGTGCTTTCGACACGGGCTTTTCCTCGCCTGCACTGACCAGCTTGGTGTTGAACTTGGGCTTCTTCGCAATGGGCGCAGAGTCGGCCTCGGCTGCATCGTCACCAAAGCTGAGCACGTTCTTGCCGGCCTTCCTCTTGGGCTTCTTGGGCTTCTTGGTCTCGGGCTCTGTGCGCGCAGCCACCTGCACCCTCTTGACCATGTCGTCGAATGGGTTGATGATGATCTCGGCGCCGGTGACTTTGGTGGGATACATGGGCTGATCGTCGCTTCCGTCCCGTATCTCGGCCTCGGCCATCTTCATCAGGTTGTAGATGGTGTCGCCTGCCACGCGGCCAAACATGGTGTTCTTGTCCTGCAGCTCTGGTGTCGCCGCCAGGGTGAAGAAGAACTGGCTGCCGTTGTCGTCCTTCTTCCCCGTGTTGGCCATGCCCAGCAGGCCTCGCCTCGTGTACTTCAGCCGGCTGTGGAACTCGTCCGCAAAGGGCTCGCCATCGTAGCTGCTCTCCCCGCCCTGGCCGGTGCCCGTGGGGTCGCCGCCCTGGAGGATGAAGCCCTTGACCAGGCGGTGCAAGACGGTGTTGTCGTAGTAGCCATCGAGGCACAGCTGCAGGAAGTTGCGCGAGGTCACGGGCGTCTGCTTGGCGAAGAGCTCGATTTCGAGGTCGCCCGTGGTCGTGTGCAGGACGACTTTGGCCGTCGGGTTTGGCTCAAGGTTGTACGTCGTACTCATCTTGGCGGCTGGGGCTCGCTATCCAGAATGCGCCGTGGTTGCGCTCGTCGACGGTACGCGAAGTCGCGTGAAGCTCTCGTGTCTCCAAAAGTCGGCCAGTGAGAGCTGAGCAGTCTCGCACGGGCCTCGGGTAAAGGTGCCGCGACGTCATCCTGGCTTCCCTCTTCACTTCGTATGCCAGCCACACTCGCACCGTCATCTGCACTTTCACCCCTCGAGACGATGCTGATACTCTGCATATAAGACTGCTGTTGCCGTCCTGCCATCTGCCTCCTGCTCCGCGTCATCAACTCCTACATCTGGCTTTTCGTCAGCTTGACAGTCGGCATCATGTTGCCCTACATTAACGCACGTACGTATCTGCCAACTAAACACCTACCAGATGTACTGACTACTGTGGAGCTTTCGAATATGTGGCCGGTATACTTGGAAACTCGGCTGATGAGCGTAAGTATTTCGAAATGTTCCGTCCATATGCCTGTTTTGCTAACCCCACCCAGTGAAGCTCGTCTTTTCTTTTTACCTGTCCTATCCCTTGGCTGCTGTCCTAAAAAGGATACCGGACAAGGATCCATGGAAGAAGAATGTTTTCGTAATAAGGTGAAACCCCTCGTCCGTAACATGTCACCATCTAGTGTTGACAATGCCAGCGTTTCCATGTTCTACCTTGTTGGACTATTTGACCTGTGGTCCGGCCTGCGGACCATTTTCATCAGTGCCGGCGGTGCCTACCTCATCTCCTCTAAGATCCACTCCCCGTACATGCCATGGATCGGCTTCGTCTTCCTTATGGGCCACATGTCGGTGAACCACATCTACCGACAGGCCGTCAACGATCCATCTGTTTTCGACATCACAGGAGCTCAAATGGTCCTGGTCATGAAGCTCACTGCCTTCTGCTGGAATGTTCAAGACGGTCGACTTCCTGACTCTGAACTTAGCCAAGTCCAGCGAGATCACGCTATCCGGACTATGCCCAGCGTTCTCGACTACATTGGCTACGTCTTCTTCTTCCCTGCTATCATGGCCGGCCCAGCTTTTGACTACGCCGACTACAGCCAATACATCACCACGACTATGTTTACCCTCCCCCCAGGCACTGATCCATCCAAAGCACCACCCACACGCAAGAAGCGTAAGATTCCTCGCAGCGGCATGCCTGCAATCACAAAAGGTGTATACGGTACTCTCTGGCTTATCGCATTCATTAAGTTCTCAAGCTGGTACTATCCAGCTTTCTTCCTCGGTGGCGAATACATGCAATACAACTTCTTCCGTCGGGTATGGCAGCTCTATATGCTCGGTCTTACTACTCGCATGAAGTACTATGCAGTTTGGAGTTTGTCTGAGGGTTCATGCATTCTTTCAGGAATCGGCTACAACGGCCTCGATCCCAAGACTGGCCGACCCAAGTGGGACCGTCTCACCAACATTATGCCACTCGAGATCGAGAGTGCGCAGAATGCTCGCGCTTACCTTGGCTTTTGGAACATCAACACCAACAACTGGCTGAAGAACTACATGTATCTTCGAGTCACACCAAAGGGCAAGAAACCTGGCTTCAGAGCTACTCTAGCGACCTTTGTGACCAGTGCGTTCTGGCATGGCTTTTACCCTGGCTATTACCTTGCCTTCGTTCTAGCTGCATTCGTACAAACTGCTGCAAAGAGTAGGCTGCCTGTCATAGGTCTAATGCGTCGTATGCTAACATATACCAGATGGCCGCCGTTTGATACGCCCACTATTCATGACGCCCGACGGACAATCGCCGCTACCCTCAAAGAAATACTACGACCTCTTTACTGTTATCCTCACACAGACTGTTTTCGCGTACGTGGTCGCACCCTTCATCCTGCTCGGCTTCTCCGATACCATAAAGGTCTGGGCAAGGGTCTACTTCTACACCCTCATTGGCGTCGCCGCATCTTTCGCATTGTTCTCGCGGTCGTTCCCTTTCCGAAAGCAGCTCGTTCAGCGCCAGTCGGCACGTACACCACCGCCCGCAGCCAACAACTACGACGACCCTGCGATCGAGAAGGCAGCACGTGAGGAAATCCGAAGAGAAAGGCTAGCAAGGACCAACTCGGCAGATAGTATTGCGGGCCATGCTAAGATGCCTCTCTTGGGTATTGCAGACGACCCCGAAGCGGAAATTGACGAGATAGTAGCAGAAGTCAAAGCAGAGATCGAGCAGAGGAAGAGGAAGGGTAGTGTGATGCAAGGGTTCGACGTCAAGAAAGCCGTGCAAGAAAAGCTGAAGCAGTTTAACAAAAAGGAGTAGAGCAGGATACACTTGAGGCAATACTTCAGTTACAGAAATGTATACGGGATAGGTATGAGAACGTGGCCGGTCTTGAGCTGAGCCGTTCAATATAGCCTGAATACATATGCAGTAGCAAGAGGTGGTGCGGGCTTATTTCCGAACTTTTCAATAATCGACCGGACATGACCCAGATCTTCGTGCACGTCCATTGCTTTTGCCCAACTTCAAAGACTCGGGCAGATCATACCGCCCAGGTCAACCGTTCAACCCAGCATCAGATACCGGCAACAACAGGGATTGTCACCTTGCGTCGGATGTAGCGAGTGTCGTGGATCCCAACGTGGCGTGAACTCTATTTCTGCACCGTCGTTCGGTAGTTCCGGACTTTTGACACCGACGCCGCGTCACTCCAGCGCCACGTACGAGAGCCCCGAGCACTTCTGCACCTGGTGTTTTGGAAGCTCCTGTCACCGAAAGTCTACTTCAACTGCCGGATTGCCATTAGGTAGACAGCCAATTTATGATCGCCGAATCACACATCACATGCGATTCTTGGAAGTTGCCAAAGGCCTAGAACGTTGACGAGTAGGTTGCGCAGATCGGTCCGACAAATCGCACAATCGATTGCGCATCCCGCTGGATCTGAGACCCCCTAGGCGTACATCCGCATGGGGCGCCAGCCGCTCAATGTCAACAACCCAACTCCGTTCATCAGGTTGCAACGCTCACTTGCAGCATCGTCATCTCCGAGGGAAAGGTACCTGGAAGGTTTATCCCTGTTTAGCCTACTGTACGATCGTGTTCTTTCAAGCCTTTCTGCCCCTGCTTCAACACTTGGCTGCATTTCACTGCCGGATGGTCAGCTAACGGTGTCCCTTCCCTGGACTGGCTTAATGGCCAAGTGATGCATTCCAATCCATTGCTAAACACGAGGAGGATGTGTAGTGTTTGCGCCACACTAGCCTGATCCGACTCCACTTCCCGAGGACATGCTTCTAGTGTTCTAATTCCAAACACGCCATGTCGCGTGTCGAGTGGACATTCTAGCATGGCTACCACATTTCAGTCCCGCCCCAGGATACGGCGAATGCCGAGATGATGTACCGCCGGCTTTGGGTATGATTGGGACCGTGTTGAAAGTGCTTGAGCTGATCCTGCTGCATGGTTTTCACCCCCCCACAACCCACAGTCCGTCTTTGCTTCTCTCGACGATCATCGCATGGACGCTGACTACGCATGACTGCACATTCATCTTGGCTGATAAAGATTGGTGGTCCTCCAGACTGAGCGCACTGAAATGGGTGTGCCGGACAATGGCCCTGTGATTGCTGGCACAACATGGATGTTAACGGTCTTGAGTGGTGGCTTCTTGGGCATCAGGTTCTACGCAAAGATGAGTCGCAAACAAGGTCTTTGGTGGGATGATTACATTCTTGCCGTTTCTTGGGTATGTTAATTTTCTGTCGTAATCACGACTTCGCTGACACTTTGCGAACAGGTCCTCCTACTGGCTCAGGCCGCCATCACCCAAGCAGGACAACAACTAGGGTTCGGGAAGCGAACAGAAGATATTCCAGTCAAATATCTCACCACAGTTGCTCTTGGAATGTCCGTTGCTGCGTCGATATCTTGTTTCGCCTCGACTTTCTCGAAAATTTCCTTTGGTGTCACTCTACTCCGCCTCACGACAGGCTACCTACGCTGGTTCGTATGGTTCTGCATCGTCACCCTCTTTCTCATAATGTTGCCAAGTGCGTTGGCCACATGGGTACAGTGTCACCCAATGGAGAAAGCTTGGAACAACACTATACCTGGGACCTGCTGGGATCCCAGTCACTCCATCAATTATGGAATTTTCAATGCTGCATGGTGTGCTGCGGCAGACTTTGCGCTTGCGCTTTTGCCATGGTATCTTATATGGGGGTTACAGTTAAGGCTCCGCGAGAAGATTGGAGTGGGTATCGCTATGAGCATGGGTGTGTTGTAAGTGCCATTCAAATCGCCCTTCTGGTTAACGGCATCAGACTGCTAACATTGGACTTCAGATCTGGTGTTTGCGCAATCGTCAAAGGCGTATATGTAATTCAACTCGGACAAGGGGACTTTTCCTTCCACGGCAAGGAGCTCACCATTTGGACTGCCGTCGAGACAGCGACTGCCATTATTGCCGCCTCCATCCCCATTCTACGTGTGTTCTTCAAGGAGACGATCTCTTCTTATTCGCGCTCGCATACCCGGACCAACAAAAGCGTGCCGCTATCGAGACTGAACCAAAGTCAACACTCTGCAACTACCACGACCGTACATGCGATGGGTAAAGGAAAAGAGGGCCACTGGACCGTAATCGAAGAGAATGGAGATGACTCCAGTCAGAGAGGTATACTTGATGATGAAGAGGTGGGAAGAGTTCACCGTATGACAGCATACGAGGACGATCATATCATGCAGACGAACACGGTCACGGTGACCATCGAGAGCGATGCTCAGTCTGACCACAAAGCCAGGTCTTTTCTGGGTATAGCCCACTAACATTCTAATTAATGGAAATTTCACTTGCAATACCTCTGCTGTTCATTCGCGACTTATCTTTCTCGTCCGATGTCCACCACCACAAAGCCTCCTAGCTCACTCTTTGCACTTAGCAGCAGTTCGAATGTCTTTGTACCATGCTGACTATGGTTGGAACCCGTTGGCCAGCAAGTTCATCTGCTGTCTGGTTCTAAGCGTGATAGCCTTTCTTGGATTGTTGATGCTTTGGGGGCGTCGTCGTCGTCCGAGGCGGGATTGTGTTTTCGGGCTTAGCAATCGTCTTACTGTCGCGGATGTGTTCGTCGTGCAGTGCGGCCCACGCCTTTTCGAAACTGGCATGGTGGTCTCATTCGGGAGGCCGCGACCAAAATGGCTGAAGTCGGTCAATAATACTAGCACCAGTAAACTGGCGCGAAAGTAAGCATCGCATACGTACTTACTATTGGGAGACGTGTTTCCTGCGGAACTCATAGTCTTCCTCGTCAGGTCGGCGATGACTGGGACGAAAGTTGTAATTTCCTTGAGCGCTGCCCTTTGCTGATCAATCAGATCTCACTCGGCAAAAACCTGATCGTCCTCCAGCTTCTTCATGCTTGCTCTACACACGGCACAAGATTGATAGTAGCCAGCGTAACTCAGGTGATGGATCGTTCTCAAATTAAAATGTGCGTATATCTACTATTTGCTGGCCGTCCACTCTAGTTGCGATGGACGTCGATCGCGAGGTGGCGACACTTCTCAGGCGAGCCCGCACGTCCTTTGGGTTCAAGGACGGTATAGTATTCTGATTCGGTTGCCAGTACGGCTAGTTGTCGCTCTCATGCCCTCAACAGTAGGCCTGATGCTGTTCATATGCTCAGTGAGTCGAGCGGCTGTTATTGCTCCTGGTGCATAAGGACACTTTCGGGGAGGCGCTGTCTGACTGTTAGCTAGGTCACGTGGATAGTCGGACGGCTTATACCATAGTAGTGAAGGATAGGTGACAATGCTCCCATAGTGGTGGTTCATGTTGGAAATTACAGGCGGGATTTTGGCGTCCAGCTCTCGTTATTGGTTTGTGAATATAAACTTGGCCGTTGGCTACCCCGTCTCACAATTCGAAGCTGCTGCTGGTGTAAGGTCTGTTTTGAACAACAAGGAGAAAGTTCTTTCGTAATCCTCAAGAGTTCGTGTAACCAGGAGTATTGAGAGACAGCGAGCGGTTTGAAAGCTTCGGCTAGCTTCGCCTCAATCTACTTTACATAATCTCTATAACCTCTCATATTGAATTACAACCCACTCACACTTGGCTATAACTTTGCTTTGATGAGTCTTGCTTTAGCTAGAAGTAATGCAGTGTCTTTTGGACTGCCGAGTGCGCTCTATTTCCATGGAGCCGGTCGTGTGAGGCATATTTATGGATGGGTTGAGGCGAATGCCAGCGTTATCGCATAGCACCCCTAAAAGAACTACTGCAATATTACCTAGGCAAGTCAAGGAGAAAGACTACTTGATGGTGCAGTTTGCAGGTGAGAATCGTCAAAATACTACATGATAGTCTCGTCAAATGTAGGAAGCGGAAGCGTTCGGCGTTGGACAACGTGGAAGACGCTGGCTGATGACTCGATCAACCAGGCGGGCTGCAATGTCCCCTCAGAAAACCCAACACAGCTCGATCACCATGAGAAAGCAGGAAGAATTAGTGCTAAAGCAGGTCTAGTATGGTAAATAATCTCTAAAGTATGCGGGAGCAATGGGAACAGATGTCTAGTGCTTGTGTTCCTCCAATCAGATGCTATACATCATCCGGTCTACACAGCCCTCAAGCACTCATCCACGATGGTGGCCATCTGCAGGCATTCCTCATCGCGCATCTTATTCGTGAAGACCTGGATTGAGGTTGGTGCGCCGTGTATGAGCTCGGGCTCGTCTGTGCGCCGGGCATATTAGCTTGTATCTCGATACTGTGTCGAGCTAGAAGACGGCAACTTACAGCTTGGACCTACTTGACCAGCTCCGATGATGAGAGGCTCGGGATCCAGAGCGCTCGACGCTCTGCCAAATGGCAGGACACAGGCGGGATACTGCACAAGCTGTCAGTAATGTTTTTCTGACGTCTACTGATGCTTGACCTGGACTTACATCCAATACGTTTAGCAGCAACGTATACGGTGGCAACCCGTACGTATCATGCGCAACTGCAGTATTCTGCGCCGATGGTCCGATTACCGCGTCCAGTCTCTCATCCCTCCAAACTTTCCTCCACTCATCCGCGATAGACTGCCTCTTTACATTGAGCGCTGCCAACCTCGGAATGCCTTGCAGACCCTCGCAGTCAGTCAGAAAATCACATTTGAAGGCACCAAACGCTTGCATAGCTTGAATGACTGATGGTACTAGCGGCTCACCACTAGCGGCTATATGTGCTGGGGGTTCGTCGAGTCCAAAATAAGCAAACGCGAGCGCTAGCGCATTGGAGACTTGTGCGCGCGACGGCGATATTGGAACAACCTGATGGCCCCTGGCTTCCAGAGCACTTACAGCTTGAGCCAGTGCCCTTTTAACCGGTGGATGTAATGGAAACGCTGGGTCTTCGACCAAAAGACCAAACCTTAGTTTCGGCACGCTCGGCGGTACTTCCAAGTCTCTCCAGGGAACATCTAGAGCAGTGGCATCGTACATAGCTGGTCTCATGGATAGAACTGACCGACATAGGAGATTCAATGCCTGGATGTCGTTTGCTATCGGTCCAGCAGAAGGTTCAAAGAAGGTCAAGCCATCTCGGACTGGAGAAGGCTGACCACCGTATGGGATACGTTCAGTAGAAGGCTTGAATCCATATGTGCCACAGCAGAGGGACGGTATACGGATAGAGCCTGGAAATGATGAGTGATCGTCATTGCCACAGACCGAGAGACATTTACTAACCTGCGATGTCCGTCCCAATACCAAGTGGCGATCCTCGGAATGCAACGAGTGCACCTTCTCCTCCACTAGATCCTCCTGCTGTTAAAGCAGTGTTATGGGGATTCAATGTACGTCCGAAGATGTTGTTATGTGAGTCAGCCGTCTATGCAATGTTAGATCGTGATCCTTCTCAAGATCGACGTAAAAGATATGACTTGCCATAAGTGTCTGCGGGATATTAGTCTTGACATAAACGACTGCGCCCAGCTCCAGCAGCATATCCACCAGCGGTGAGTTCTTTTCAGATAACTCGTGGTCTAAGAAAGAGACAAACCCGATGGTTGCCGCTGTTCCCGCAATCTGAAACCCGTCTTTGATACTTATCGGTAAACCATGGAGAGGCCCTACGATGCGGCCGGCAGCTCTTTCACCATCGAGGAAGCGTGCTCGGTCTTGTGCTTCTGGAAAGTATGTTTCGGTAAGGCAAGAAAGCTTGGAGACTATGTTAGCGAGCTTGTAAATACTTCGAGAGGGGCGCAACGGACCAGCTGCTGTGCCATAGCCGCTCTTTTGGAAAAAGCTATCGTGACTTCTAGTGACGATAGAACACCCTTTCTTAGCTGTTGCAACAACTCATCAACAGTGAACTTCTCGGTTATATTCAGCTCTTTCTCGTTCATGATGCCCGATTTTCGGGGAATGTCCATCTCGATTACTCGGTTTGGATGGTCCGAAAGCGGTGCTTGAAGCAGATTCGTGATGGATGCCGGGAGAAGCCATTCTTTTGGTATCTTGTCGCGGCAGGCTTGCTGTTTGGCAGCAACTCTGCTTTCCCATGCAGTGACAGCCATATCAGGGTGAGTGATAGAATCTGAGGCTGTAAGTTGCATTGGGCAGGAGTGATGATATGACAGTGTGCATCGGCACCCCTCTGATAATGTATATGAGTAGTACCCTCGGTTGCCGTGGAATCTAACCGAGGGCCATGAACGTGGCATCATAATTCCGTCTGCCTGGTAACGTGATAAGGTGTTGCTATCTTGATGGTCAGTACGTACATTCGTATCATGTCTGAGCGGCATTCGTTAGCGTGCCACTACCCCACAGCCGCCAACGCCAAGCCGGGGGGTTGTTCGCTACACAATTCGTTCGATTAGGCCCGTTCACTAGCGGAAACCTGCATCCCGGGGTCGAGGATTGGGATGCGCGGACGGCAACAGAACGGAATAAAGCCGCCTGAGGACTGGATATGATATATATATATGCAAGAAATTCTGGTAAATGATAACGATGGTAATCGTCCTGCAAGCTCTATGCCTGTAGTCGATATTCTCCCGCAGTGAATCTATTGTAACCGACATCTTTCAGCAACGATGAACGACACGAATTCTCCCAGGGAGGAAGATGAAAACTTCTGGGCGCCTGGTACCATACGGCTCGAGGACAGTAAGCCTTCCCGCTTGTCGTCGATAAGACGGCACACTGATAACCCACTTCCAGTGACAACACCGGCATCAGATGTCATCCTCCACCCTGTGCCTAGCTCTGATCCAGATGATCCGCTGAATTGGAGTCGACTGCGAAAAGCCATCAATTTTGGTCTAGTCGGTTTTTTCGTGCTTTGGACCTTCGTACAGCTGCAAACAGGCTCAACATCCTGGGGATCTCTCATGCGCGAACTGCACTTCTCCGTGGATCAGTTGAACAACGGAGCTGCTATGAGTTGTGCTGGACTTGCAGTCGGCTGTATGATCTTCATGCCGTTTGTACACAAGTTCGGGCGACGGCCACTTTATCTGATCAGCTCAGCGCTGCAATTGAGTTCAGTAATTTGGCAGGCCAAGACTAGGACATACGGTGACTGGATGGGTAGCAACTTCCTTGCTGGACTTGGGGGTGCCATCAGTGAGGCTGTTGTCCAGATCACCATTGCCGATCTGTACTTTGTGCACCGACATGGAACCATGAACGCGTGGTACCTCGTCTTCACATCTGTAGGTGCATCCCTTGGCCCGGTGGCGTCTGGCTTCATAGTGCAGTCCCAGGGTTGGAGATGGATTTGGTGGTGGTGCACAATCTTCCTGTCGTTGAACCTCGCGCTCGTGTTGCTTTTCTTCGAAGAGTCAAAGTATGTACCCGTCCTTAACGGCCGCAGTGTACACCATGGTCCTTCTAGCTCAAGTGGACCAGAAACCTTGCACGCCGAGTCGGAATCGCAGAAAGTTGCAGACGTCAAAGGGGACACCAAACACAGTAGCATGGAGCGAGTGCCATCTCGGATTGACACAACCTTGCCACGGAAAACATATCGCCAGCGCTTGGCCCTCTTTACTTCTTCCAATCAACCGATCGGCCACCACTTCTACCAGCCAGTCATAGTGTTGACCACCTTTCCAGCAGTTGGTTACGCCGCTCTCACGTATGGCACAGTACTAGCGTGCTTGGCACTGATGTCTTCGCTGCAGGCAGTGTACCTGCTGCAACCGCCGTACAACTTCGGGCCCTCTGGAGTAGGACTCATGAACGTTGCTCCTTTTACTGGATCGTTACTAGGATTTTTCGCCGGAGGCTATTTGAACGACAGATCGATTATGTGGTTTGCGAGACGAAATCGAGGAGTATACGAACCGGAAATGCGACTATGGCTTGCTCTCGCTTCGGCACTGCTGCTTCCGGCTGGGATTTTGATGTTCGGATTGGCGTTGGTGAGAGTATGTTGAGAGCTTGCGATAAACAATGCCGCATACTAACCAGACCTCCAGGGCGTGCATTGGATGGTGTTAGCCGTGGGATTCGGCTTGTTCGGCTTCACCTTCGTTCTGGCCAGCGGCATCGCTCTGGCGTATGTGACAGACTGTTATCAAGAGGTGAGTCGGAAGCAATACGCTTCTTGAGCGTACCACATTTGCTGACGACCAAATGCTCAGATTCTCGGAGACGTTATGATAGGCATCGTCTTTGTCCGTAACTTATTTGCCGTCGTCATTCTTTTCGCAGTCACACCCTGGACAAAGGACATGGGACTGCAAAACGTGTGTATTATCACAGCAGCCTTTTGTTTTGCGATTCTGCTGCTTCCTATACCCTTGCTAGTGTGGGGCAAGAAAATTAGGATTGCGACGGCGAAACGGTATAAGCGAATGGCGATGCGACAGCCAGCTCATCGAACAGTTGAATAAAGTTAATGGCTGTTCGGGAAGGTCAAGCTGAGTCGATAAATGGTGGTTCTTATAACGCCCAGATCCAGAAAGGCATTGAAGCATAGCAAGGCGCATTCAGCCGAGTTATAACATGCCAAACAACGCCTGGATATTATAGTTTCCATCGCCAGTTGGTTATTGAGGGAACCAAGACACCATGTCGCTCCAATGAATTCGATCCGTGTTATCTTTGATTAACCAAAATGCTGTCAATTGTTTCTTGATCTTGGTCCTCCACGCTTTCGAAAACTCGACAACAGCATCGATCTTTTTGAGTGCCAATTCTCTTTTAACGGGGTCGACCAACTCGAAGCAAGCGAACATGTATGGGACAGTGGCGCCTGGCACTGAGCGCCCGGTGGACTGTAGTGTTAGACGTAGCTCTTCCAGGATTGCGTTAGATATGACCGTCCCTTTTTCTACAGCCGAACCATATGGATGTCGCAGTCGGTGTGCAATGAGTAACACAGACCAACGATATAATCTGGCTTGGGCCAGTATACTGGCCACCTCCTCCTGCAAGAAGCGAGTGATATGACCTTCAGGCATTCTTGGCTCCCACGCTTCGACAGCCGCTTCGATCGCGTCTAAAGCTTGCATGATTGCAGAGATATCAACGTGCTTGTCATTACGTAGCGTACTGGTGATTGTACAGACGTCGTAGAGGTACGGTAGCATGGGCGATGCAATGCCCAAGTACCGATCAACAACGTCATCGAGCCCTCGAGCCGTGAATCGTAGAGTTGGTACCTCGCCCCGTAGGATGCACTCTTCGGTCTCGGCTTGGACGAGACAAATTACGAAGGCAAGGCAATCTGGAGTAAGCTCCGTTGATGATTCGTATACGGGCTTGATGAGGTTGAGACTATGTCGACATATCTCTAACGCTTGTCCAGAGATATGTAGCGCAAAGGTGATTGCGCTTACCGAAAGCATCAGAATGGTAGGAAGGTCACCGAGATCGACAGCCTTTACAGACCGCAAGGTGGAGATTGCAGAAGCTGCGCGCCTGTGGCCGATGATGCGATCCTCATAGTCGGATCCAGGCTCGTACTCGCAAGCCAGAAGAGCTGCAGTGGCCAACAACGAGTCCTGGACCCACAAAGTAGCGTCGTGGAGTTGTTGCGCAAAAGCTTTGTGATGGGTGATGCGAAAGCTTGAAGCAACCAAGAACTGGTCGATGCGCGTTCTTCCTTGGGAAACACCCTTGACAAGATGCATTTCTCGCTCGGTCAAGTCCGCGAGTGAAGACGGAGTCCTGGGCAGGGATGCTAAGTCCCAATCCGGCATAGCCGGGCTGGCGGCCGAGGCTGGGCATTGTGGTGATGAAGCAGCGGTAGAAAGGCTGCTATCACTCCGAGCCATGTGTAGCTGACGCTGTGTACTCTCTTCATTGCGCTGGTACCGAGGTTTGCGGCCGGCTGTCCCGACTGGTCGCAGGGTCTGACATGAGTTCTGGAGTCGGAGGCATCGTTCGCACGCGTCCTGGCCAGGGATGCGCCTACATTTCTCTTTTACAATATGGCATCTGTCGCATGCTCGCCTCGCTGGTGGCCTGCCCATCGCAGACACTTGCCGGTGGATCGCAGTGGATACATGTTCAGTGAACGGTGAAATGTGAACGGCACGCGGGAAGAGTCCGAAACACCGGCGGCGGTTGCTGAGTAACCGGGCCACGTGCCAGCCCTGAGGTCCTGTCGGATCGAGGTTGAGCAACGTGCATTGTACAACTCCCCTACTGAAAATCCATGGCTATCAAAATCAAAATGTCTCATTGCTATCATCGCAGTATCTCGCCATTTACTCTACATGCTTCAACTATACAGTTCCAACACACAACCTTATCGAATTCCTCAGTGGGCATGCTCTTCACCGCATCCACAGTCGGGCCCAAAGTCACGTCGGGCCTGCCTCGCTTCTTCCTGCCATGGCTGTAGTTCTACTGCCCTCTTCTCTTCCCGTGTCCACTGTCCATGACCCTTCTTCTCATTGAGCTCAACAAGCGCATCGAGCCAAGCAGCAAGCCTGTATCCTGCCTTTGCAAGTTGCTTGGTGACGACTGGAATTGCCGTGTCCCAGTACGCTCCGGATAGCTCTTGCGCGAAAACTGCATCAGGACCGTCGGGTATGACAGTAGAGCAAACGAATTTGTTGGAGTCGCGCGCCCAGGTCATGGAGCTGCTTACTGCATCTTTCGCCTTCAAGCCCTTGAGCCACGTCTTGCTCTCTTTCTTGAATTTGCCATGCTTTACTTCCGCGGTGAGGTTGTTGGCCAGAGCCAGTGCATTGGCCTGAGAGAAGTTTCCGTATGCCTTTTGCGGAATTGCTGTGTCCCAGATGGAGTGGAGATTTGTGCGCACGCCGTTGAAGGTGACGTTGATGAGGTTGCCACCCACGGCGATGTTCTCTACATGTAGGGGCTGGTGAATGTCACCAACGAAGTGAACGACCCATTTGAGTGCTTTCTGCTGCTCGACGATGCCGACCGACTTCTGAAAAGCGCGGCTGGAGTAGTTGGCAATAGCAGAAACAATGCAACCTTCTTCGGGACAGTCTCGCTCGAAGTCGATGTTGCAGCTTTCAGGCGGGTTGTCGAGAGCATCAATGTAGTGATAGACGGAACTGAACTGTCCTCCAGCCTCATAGCGGTAGCTGTCGGCCCAGGTTGCTACGTTGGCTAGGTATGCGGACGAGGTATCGTTCAAGAGGGTCTGGGCAAACTTGGCCGTCTTGTGAGAGACGAGGTTTTGCGCCATGTATGCGACCGCGGTGTGGCCAAGCGATCCCCAAGCTGAAGCATAGGGGACAGCCGCGAGGAGAGGCAGAAGTGTCTTGGGTGGCGCCATGTTATGACCTTGGTCTTGACTGGCCTATGATGGGACTTGTTGTAGTGAAGGACAGGAAGGAAGCTTGGCAACATTCACATTGGAAGGAACGCGCTGTTATAAGCAACTCGCGATGGCAATTTGTATCAACCAATGGTCCCGGCGGTATCGGCCATGCCCGTTCCATGGCTGCGGTGTTGGATGAGCGATGGTATGCAGGTCTGCGGAGATGCTAGCCCAGTTAGGAAGGTTCTACGCTCAGACAGGCAGGAGCTGGGTGGATATCTTCAACTTGAGCCTCTCGACAAGAGCACGTTGTGGGTTCTGATTGGACGACAGTAATGACACAACGGAGATAAACATCAGGAGAGAGTATCGGCAAGGTAAGCAGTCCCGTCAATGTCTAGTGCATGTATTTACAAAACTAACGCAGACTATCAATGCACCAACGATAGCTAGGGTATCTCAAAACCATGAGTATTCGCCAAACGCCAGATATGAATGCACGTGTTCACGGTGATGCTTATTGGGCAGCCTCCCCTGGATTGTTCTCACGGTTCCTGTTCACGTCCGTGTCCAACAGTACCTCATCTTCAACAGGCTCTTCCGCAGGAGCGGGAGGCCCCTCAAACAGACGAATCCACCAGGCAGGTGGGTATAGAGGACTGTGATTGTGGTGGAGCGGCGGGTAGATGTCGTTCAGGTAGTACCATACTGAGAATGATTAGTCGACATACTAGAGCGCAAGGGAGGGTGACGGTGACGTACTGTGGCCGACAACAATGCCGCACATCTCGTCCTTGGGTACCGTCCCGTGCATGATGAGCGAAAAGGCCAACAGCACCCAGGGCAAGTACGGCGCCTTGAAGACCAAAAGTCCAAGGAAACTAAGCATTGTGTCGGGGTTCTTTCTGCTCCAGATGTAGATGAGCGTGCTGGACAGAGCGGAGCCGAGGAAGGCCATGGAGAAGATGGGCGCAATGCAGAGGAGGAGTGTGGAAGCGAAAGTGAGGAGCCATGCGAAATGTGCCGTCGAGCGGCCAGACGATTCCTCGAGTAGTCGCGCGTATCGCTGGAGGAAGAAGATGTGGTAGAGGAGGTCGAGACTGAGGGGACCGAAGTAGAAGAAGGTTGTGAGTAGTCTCCAGTACTATTGGACATGAGTACGAGCAGCGATGGGTAGGCACGGCGATGAACTGACCTGGCTCTTGAAGAAGACAGTGCGCACACTGTAGAACAGCTGGAAGGGCGAGATGATGTGGCATTGCACCAGCACACTTGCACTCAGCGCCGCCGTCATCCACCAGCGCGTACACACAGGCATCTCGTAGAACCATTGCTCGAGCGGAAAGCCTCCGGCCCCTCCTCCCATCATGCCGTCCCCTCCTTGCAAGACGTTGGCCATGGCGGGTTGTGGTAGGGATAGGATGGAACGTGGAAAGACAAGAGGAGCAAGCAGGTTCCAGCACCCGCAGCCAGATATAGAGCGAAGGGACAGGTGTCGTCGCTGCGCAGACGCATTCACTTTCCGAGACTCCGAGTGACAGATGGACCGACCCCATGTGGCTACGTAACTTGTCCGATAGCCTGCCAAGGCGCTAGTCCAACCAGCACGCGATTGTGCCTTCCTCGTCCCGCCGAACATTCGACGGGGTCCAAGCTCCTTCTCTCGGTCGGTGAATGCGGACCAGCCACAATGCCCAGCCCCTCGCCCGGGTCGCGTCGACTGCATCAACGCGAAGACGAGCAGTGCGCCCGTGCTTCGCTCCATCCTCATCGCTATTCCTGAAGCAGACACAGCGCGCAAGACTCGACGACCCGTCCTATTCCATACTCGTCGCGCTCTGGGGTTCGCGACTTTTCGCGACGTGAACGCGCCCTGACGTCTCCCACCGCGGGCATTCCCTCGACGCATCTATCCATATCCCACCCAGCCATGTCACCCAAATCTCCAACAAGGCGCAACAAGGCGCGGCCGTCGCGGGGCGGAAGACCGAGTGTTGAAAGCAGGAGGGACTCGGGCAAGCGACGTACGTTCTGCGCCTGACTGACTGGCTGACTGACCAGTCTGCGCAGCCGAGCTGACATGCGCCCAGTTGGACAAGCAGGACCTGCTCCAGACCGCGCGAAGAAGCGCTACAAGCCTGGCACCGTCGCTCTCCGGGAGATCAAGCGCTACCAAAAGTCGACCGACCTGCTCTTGTTAAAACTCCCCTTTCAGCGCCTCGCAAGTGCCCATCACCAACACGGCGCCGAGACTCCCAACTAATATCGTTCCAGGTCCGCGAGATCGCACAGACAGTCACAACCGAGGACGGCCCCAATAGGTGGCAGAGTCAAGCCATTGTAGCCCTCCAGGAAGCCACAGAAGCCTTCCTCGTGAACCTCTTCCACGACGCAAACCTTTGCGCTATCCACGCCAAGCGCGTCACCATACAACAGAAAGACATACAGCTCGCTCGTCGTCTGCGCGCAGCTTGGGGTGCGCCTGTCTAAGTCAGGAGAGGTGCATTTTGATCGATACCCAATGTTTCTTTGGACTGGAACCATTTTGGAAGTTGGACCGTTGCTTTTGCGATACAAACTTCATCTGCATATTCGCTGGGGTGTTGTCGATGTTACAATTGCGACTGGCGTTCCATGGCGCCTTGGGGACCTGAAGGAGGCCTGTATTCTTGAATGTTTTTGCTCCCATTGCTCCCATCCTAGCGTCAGCTTCAATTGTCGGATTGCTACCATATATCTTGTATACAAATCCATCCGTAAACCTGAACACCAAAATGCGTCAGGTAGGAAGACGCCAACAGAGCTCAAACCTCTGCATTGAAGTGGGAAGAGATCTTGCAACATGCGATATGCCATGCTCATAAGCTCTAGTGACATTGGCAATGCGCCGGCATTGCTTGAGCTGCTTACGCCATGACTGGATCTTGGCTTTGATGTTGGTTGCTGCATACAAATAGTGTGATAGATTTGAGCCGTGTAGCTTTACAAACGAACCGAATGACCCTTCCCGTCTTGCTCTTCTTGCTCGGAACTTTGGGTATCTTATCGCCGCAAGCCTCACCACCTTCCCTATGCGTATCCTAGCAATGATCCCATTACCCCACTCATCCGGTAACTCATCAACCAAGACAATGCCGAATAAACAAGTGACGAAAAGCCTCCTTGGCAGTCTTGGCTGTGCATTCTTCCCCGCCCATCTCACTTCGCTAAAGGTAATTCGACGTCATGAACGGGCTGCCTCGATTCCGCGCTGCTGCAACAGTACACGCGCTATAGCTCAACCAGGAAGCTCAATACCTGATATGTAAGCTCATGCAAGCTGGTACCCAGTTGATATGCAGCTGGAATCAAGTACGCGGTGTGGTGCGACCTAGTATAAAGTTGGGCTACGTACCCTCCAAAAACTATACGTACCAGGAAGTGGGGAGGAAGACCTTTCTGCACTTTGACTACAATCACAATGGGTTCATTTGGACTCCCGTTGCTCGGCGCAGTCGGCCTTTTGAGCGGGGTTGTCAACGCCCAATTCCCTCCAAAGCCAGAAGGCGTGACCATCCTGGAATCGCAGCTTGATGAAGGAGTCAGAATCTCGTACAAGGAGGCAGGTCAGATCCTTGTAGATTGCTTACATTGTTCACTGATTATCCCCAGACCGAACTTTGTGAAACCACTGACGGCGTCCGAAGCTTTTCCGGTTATGTCCATCTGTAAGTGTCCCTGTACGAACTGCATGTGAGATATTTACTGATCTCGTACACCAACGTGCAGCCCAGCTGGAGCACTGGCGGACCTTGGTGTTGAAAACCAGACATATGAGATCAATACCTATTTTTGGTTCTTTGAATCCAGGAAAGACCCTGCCAATGCGCCTCTTTCAATTTGGATGAACGGTAGGTGGCCTACAAGGAATTCTTACCGTATTCGCTAACAGTATCGAGGTGGACCGGGTTCCAGTTCTTTTGTCGGACTGTTGCGTGAAAACGGACCTTGCTTTATTGGCGCTGACTCCAACAGTACTTACCTCAACGAGTGGTCTTGGAATAATGAGGGTAAGATCAGCCAGATTACGACATCTAGTTTGTAAAGGACAAAAGCTGAAGAGTATAGTCAACATGCTTTACCTCGATCAACCCGTCCAAGTAGGCATGAGCTACGACAGTTTGGTGAACATCACCACCAACCTAGACACCGGCGATCTCGAAGTGGTAGACTTTGAGAACGGCCCTGTCCCCTCACAAAATAACAGCTTTTACGTTGGCACCTATCCCAGTGAAAACTACAATCTCACCACCCGTGGTACGGAGAACTCTGCACGAGCTCTCTGGAACTTTGCCCAAGTCTGGTTCCAGGAATTTCCTGAACACAAGCCGAATGATGACAGAATCTCGATCGCAACTGAGTCATACGGAGGTCGATACGGACCTGCTTTTGCGGCCTACTTCCAGGAGCAGAACGAGAAAATAGAGAATGGGACGTGGAGCGAAGCTGGCCAGACTCATATTCTTCATCTCGACACTCTACTGATCATCAACGGCTGCATTGATCGCTATGTGCAGTGGCCAGCTTACCCTACCATGCAGTACAACAACACGTACGGTATACGGGCCGTCAATGAGTCGCGTTACGAAGAAGTGCTCGACAATCTGTACCGTGAAGGAGGATGTCTTGATCAAATTGAAGAGTGTCGCAACCTTAGTCTTGCCTACGATCCCACCAATCAAGGGTTCAACGAGACCGTCAACGAAGTATGCGAGGCTGCAGAGACATTCTGTTCCAAGACTATTCGTGATCCGTACTTTGACACCGACCTCAATTACTACGACATCTCTGCTCCTGGCGCTGCAGCATTCCCACCTCCATGGTATCAGGGCTGGCTCAATCAGCCTCATGTGCAGCAGGGGCTAGGCGTGCCCTTGAATTGGACTCAGTCAAACTCTGCGGTATCGCGGGCATTCCGCGGCATTGGCGACTACCCACGTCCAGGCTGGAAGGAAGACTTGGCATACCTTCTCGAAGAAGGCATCAAGGTAACGCTAGTATACGGCGACCGAGACTACGCCTGCAACTGTGAGTAGCACCCAGTAAGATATTGATGTGAGATACGTACTGAGTTTGCATAATGAACACAGGGTATGGCGGTGAACTGCTCTCCCTCGCCATCCCTTACGACAACGCCACCTCGTTTGCGGATGCGGGGTATGCGCCTGTCATTGTCAACGACACCTATATTGGAGGTCAAGTGCGCCAGTACGGAAACCTGTCCTTCACACGCGTGTACGAAGCTGGCCACGAGGTACCGGCCTACCAACCCGAGACTGCGTACAGGATCTTTACACGTGCACTCTTCAACCGCGACATCAGCACCGGAAATGTCTCCACAATCGAAAATCCTGACTACGCAACCGAAGGGCCAAGCGACGTGTACAACATAACCAATGAACCAATTGTCGACGAAGGCACGCAGTGTTACGTTCTCGATCCCGGACAATGCACAGCGGAACAGTGGGAGTCAGTCATGAACGGAACGGCTTTGGTGCGGAACTGGATTGTTGTAGACGCCAACACCAGCTACCTGTTCCCAGACCTAGTAGGCAACGGAACCTCCGGTAATGGGACTGCACCTTCGACAACTGGCATTCCTATGCCTACTTATACCGCAGCTGCGTCTGGAGGTCTCTCCACGAGTTTTTTGGGTAGTATAATCATTGCCGCAGCTGTGGGAGGCTTGATAATGCTATAGAGAACGCGAACGGGGACTCATACCCTGCGTGCGCGAGTAAGATAGATGTCGAAGGCTTGCAACATGTATTCGGCGAACGGATGCCTAAGCAGTGAGCAGAATTCTCATCTTGTCGCTTCACAAATGGGTTCCGAAGCTTTAAGTTCTTTCGCAATTGTCCTGGACGTTGATGAAACAATGACTTGGGCCGAGCTAGCTGAGAACCTACCTCTTTCATGCATCGTGTTGTCTTCTGATGCAGTAGCTTCGCGTGACGTCATGACTGTCCGATATTAGACCATGAATGCTTTTTCAGAGAATGGACGTGTCCACTCAACGTCTTCAACTCGTCCCGTACTCCCCATAAAAAGAAAGAGAATTGGCAACCATGTCTCGCTCCACCTATACCGCGTTTCAAAGGCACTTGATCTACTTCTCGACGCCTACATCTCCACCGAAGCTTACTTTCGGATCAGCTCTCCGTGCAGGCGTATCGATCGGTCTTGATTTTCCCGTCGCAGTCTTGTTGAGTCTGTCTTTAAGGCTCATGTATGCGCCAGTTCCTTTCCTCTGGTCTCCTATCATCGTGGACAATATTCCAACTTCAGCTCACCGCACGCAACTGAGCTCTGCAACATTACCAAAAGGCAAAGCCGAATATACCTGCACCGAGCTTTTATCACTTCTCGATAGTAGTCCGGAGGAGAATGAGGGCAAAGGCTGGCTAAACCACAAGATCGACCAGGGCCATGTGATAGGATTCTGGACGATGGCTGCAAATGCGAGAACACATGCTGTAAGCAGCGACGATGTCGCACGGTTCCAGCAAGGAGAGTGGGAGAAGCCTGTCGCTCAGAGGAGGCGTGGAACGGATGACGTATTGCCGCTTTGGCGAGGCGGGCCAATTTGGGTGGGTGGTCACAGCTGGGCTGTATGGAAACTCTTGGGAGTGCGGGTTTACGAGGACAGGAAACAACAGTAGTTGGGGAACTTGCTCTGGTCACCGTATCAGGTAGAGCGAGAGAATTGCTCTAGGGGCGCTGGGTGTGGGGGGCTTTCGCGCCAATTTGGCGTGACGCTTTTCGCATGTTCACGGCGAATGTTTATGTCAAGGCTTACATAGCATCGCAAACTGCGAAAGCCTTGTTGGCGGATCTAGACTCTTGCATGCGAAACCGAAACCCGCTTTTTTTTTTTGCCCGAAGAAACCGTTTTTACGCACCTTAATATCATGAGGTGGTGCCTTTGACAGCGGCCGAGGTTCGGCAGACCCGCTTTTCTTCGCTCTGTCGACGCAATTCCGCGCTCACGTAAAGCTTTACAACCTGAACTATCAGCATGCAAATGTCGAGTACGTTACGCGACAAGCTAGCTCGTAAAACGCGTCGCTATGTATCTTGTAGGCAGATCCCCTCTTCTTTGGAAAACGATATTGATTTTCACACGGACATTTTCTGCACCTGCGTCCAAACACGTCGGTAGTCGATCAGCACTGTCGCCATCGCGGTTCCATCTCGGAACGTGCAGCCAAAACAACTCAGGCGCGAAAATTGAAAGTCTTTAACCATCGCTCAACTCCTAAGGACACGACTTAATACCTCCAAATCGTCCCTTACGACCCAAAGACATTTGCAAGAGCACACCCGACAAAATCATTCCTTTGCCGTGTCCTCGAAGAGTCTAAGAATGGACGACACCAGATTATCACCCGACCCAACGGTCGAGAAACTTTCTTCTCCTCCAGAAAGCGACCTCGACTACAGTGATTCTCGCGATGACATGGATCGTCACAGCTCTCACGCCTCTGCGCATGCTTCTAAGCAGGACCAGGACCTGGAATTGGCGAAAACCAAGTCTATCGCAGAGACTATGTCTCCAATACGCGAGATTCTCTTCGTCGGTCTGCTTTGTTCTGCTCAATTCGTCACTCAAGCAGGTCTCCTCGGTACCTTGAATATCCTGCACATCATCGGACCCGATCTTGGTATCACCGACCCTGGCATCTTGTCCTGGCTGATAGCAGGCTATTCACTAACGGTTGGCACTTTCATCCTTTTGTCCGGTCGATGTGGAGATCTATTCGGATACAAGAACATGCTGATCGTGGGCTTTGTTTGGTTCGCTATCTGGAACATAGTGGCTGGATGCAGTGTGTATATTGACGAGAATGGCGGCCAAGTGCTGTTCATCTTCTCGCGTGTGTTGGGTGGCATCGGGCCAGCAATATTACTGCCCAACGCACTCGGCCTCTTAGGCGCAACCTACAGTGAGGGAAGGAGGAAGGATATGGTTTTCTCATTGTTTGGAGCATGCGCACCCGGCAAGTATTCTTCGATTGATTCCTTGGTATGCTTTCTAATATTTAGTAGGTGGTGCTGTGATCGGCGGGACATTCGCTGGCTTATGGTCGCTTTTGTGGTGGCCGTGGACCTTTTGGACGTTTGGCATTGCGCTCTTCTGCCTTGCCACTTTGTCAATCTTCATTCTTCCCTCGGTGCCTCTTGATGCGGATGTTCGCAGTCTCTCCCATAGAGAGCGAATTCGCGAGCTTGACCTCCTCGGCGCAAGCGTGGGTATCACCGCCATGATATTATTCAACTTTGCCTGGAACCAAGCACCAGGCTTTGGATGGAAGCACCCGTACATCTACCTGTTGCTAATAATCGGCATTCTTTTGTTTCCGGTCTTCTTTTGGATAGAGATCAAACTTGCCAAGAAGCCCCTCATCCCGTTCGACGTTCTTAGCACGGATGTCTCATTCGTGTTGACCTGCATAGCATGCGGCTGGGCTGCGTTCGGTAAGTAACGACCTCGTCATAGTATCTGCAGGGGACAATCTTATTGACAGCGAATGCAGGTATCTGGGTCTATTACTTCATCCAATTTCTCCAACAGCTGCGAGGCGACTCCCCTCTCCTGACGATGGCTCATCTCTGTCCTGTCGCAATCTCAGGCTTTATCGCCGCCGTTACCACTGGCCATGTCATCTCACGTATCGGTCCAGGATGGGTTATGCTCATTAGTATGCTTGCTTTCTTGACAGGTAGTATCCTCGTCGCTACACTCCCAATTCGCCAAGTGTATTGGGCGCAGACCTTTGTTACCACGCTTATCATTCCATGGGGCATGGACATGAGCTTTCCTGCTGGCACACTAATTATGAGTAATGCCGTTGCTAAGAAACACCAAGGTATGGCGGCGAGCCTAGTCAACACCATCGTCAACTACAGTATCAGTATCGGGGTTGGCATTGCAGGCACAGTGGAGGTGCATGTCAACAACGGCGGAGCAACGGTCGCGGACGAATTGAGCGGCTATCGAGGTGCCATGTATGTTAGTGTCGGACTGAGCGGCATGGGTGTGGTGACAAGTTTGTTGTTCCTGCTCAAGATGCAACTGAAGGAAGGGAAAGCGCGAGCAAGGGACGTGTAATTGCGTTCTACCCATAGGAGAAGGCTACTGGTCGTACTCACCAAAGACACACTGAGAGTTCTTGAGTTTGTAGCCGGTGTTTGCACCCCTTCCATCGATGAGCATGTGATTACGTCATCGTGTGAGATTATCCCCGCCACCACTCTCGTCCTCATTCGCAAGCATCATGTCAGCCGTTCATTATCAATCCAAGACACCAGCGCCACAATTTAGCAGCCCAACTCATAAACGCTTAGCAGTCCCGACTTCTTTTGGTGAAACTTCCCCTCGAGTTAGTTGCGCAGCCAATTTCGCTAACTGACTGAGTATACAACAGTGTTTGCCTCTGCCCTGCAACTCACAAGAAGCGCGGTTTGCTACATACAATCTTCCGAAAGATCTGCGCAATAGGTGGGAACAAAGTGCTGACCACAACCGGCCTCGCGTTCATCTCAAGCAGTACTCCAAGTGCTCTTGTGGTCTCATAATGGCGCTTCCATTCGACGCACCGATCTATAAGCTACCGGAGGAGCTGTTACTGCAGATCGCGTTTCATCTTCCCGACTCGGCCGCACCCAGGTCTCTCAAAAATCTATGTCTCACATCTCGCAAGTTCCGTGCGGCTGGGCAGGAGGTTCTGCATACTGTAGCGAAGCTATCGATCTCCTGTGGCTGTCACCCCAAGGTAAACCCTCTTCTGAAGCTCCTTCGTACGCTTTTCGATCGCCCTGATCTTGCAACCCAAGTGAAAAGCTTACGCGTCAGGACTGTACGCAAAAATGTCGCAAAGATCTGTGAAGAGCAGGGATTTAGCCTTGCGCCGTTGCGCACGCGAAGTTTAGCAAGGCTGGAAGAACTAGGCTACACGAAGCATCCCTGGCATAAAACTATTCAAAACTCGATTGAGTCAGGGTTTGCTGGGATTTTACTATTGCTCCTTCCAAACCTCACACACCTCGAGTTCTGGGTCAAGGATCATCATCGAGGTCCGCCATCAAGCGAGTGCATATCGGGGCTTTTTGGGGGCATGTCCGCCCCTGACAGCATCGTAAACGGATGGGGTACTCTTCGTCATCTCACTACTAGTGATACACATTTGTTCAAGTCCGGGATCAATTTTGCTAGCCTGACAAGCTTGGACTTGAAAACGATATCCATCGGCACCGTTCTGCGTCTCAACGGACCTGGATGTCTGGAGGGCGCCGAGAACCTTGAGAACCTAGCTTTGACTGTATCAGTACAGTTTGCTGATCGTCCCCTCATCGAAAAGGCTGAAATACAACTTGGCGATCTTTTCGACGCGCTCGGTTGCGTTCAGCTTCGAAGCCTTAAGATACTACTGTAAGACCACACATTTGGCTTTTGCGGTAAACATGCTAAGCTCTCACTCTTGCAGTATCAATGACGGCTACCACATTGGTGATGACTTGAATACGCAGCTTGAAGGAGGCTATTTCATGGATCAATTGAATAGCATGAAAAGCACCTTAGAGACGCTTGCTATCACGCTTGAAACAACCGATGATGACTCAGAGCTCGAGTGGCTGCTCGATATGATAACAAGTCCGAAGGGTTCACTTGAGCACTTTGACGTCTTGAGAAATCTCGTCCTTCCGCAAGCATTTCTCTTTGCTGTCGAATCCATGCCTTGGGACAGCAAATCCTGCCGACCAAAGGATTTGCCACCCAAGCTAGAGTCACTAGAGATCTTTTATCCTGGTGAAGAAATTGAGAATTGGGTGGCAGGCTTCGTGTCGGCGAATACTGACGACGTTAAGCCGCTCCCGGCTCTCAAAGAGATCACCTTGACTTGTCGAGACGAAGTCGGTGCACCAGCCTCATATTTCTCCAGCGAAGTTGACAAGATCTGGTGGGAGCTAGCAACGGACCATGGAATTGATTCGTACACGTACTGTCAGATTCAAGAGCACAGATCTAACTTGGCAGAGTTATGGTATAAAGAAAGCCTAGACACAGCCCCTAGTGAAGAACACCAGGATGGAGGGGAGGAGGAATGGAAAAATGACGCCGATAGCGATAAGATTGAGGGAGACGACGATATGCCATATCTCACCCAGTTGGCGGACCATTTCCCAGAATCTATTGAAACTGTGGACTAGACAGGACAGAATCTTAGTGGCTGAAGACATGGCCGTGATATGTTATCACGCATGACTAGCGTACGAATTCGTGGGTCTAGAAGCTCATTGGAGAGTTGGCGGCCTTCATGCAGGTTCCCGGTCAGCGATACGAACCGAACTCCGACCCACCCTCTATACACAGCCGAGATAGTTCTGCATGCATTCGATATTGAACACTACGCCTGCTGAGGACCATAGTGTTCTAAATTAACCAGTTGCGTCCAATAGTAACAGCGGAATCCGAGTACCCCGGTCTTGGAGCGCGTACTTCCAGGCTCTCGTTATGCAGCTAGTATGCACGCTAATATATCCCACAGCCAGAGTATACAATCAGCCTGGAGCAAGCAGTGCTACGCCTATCGCTGAGGTAGGCTGCGAGACTCTCATCGCCACATGGCGTTCTTTACGAGAACAAATATCTCATATTTCACCATTGCCCTAGCCCAGTGCCGTCATAACTTGGCGATGGCTGGCATATGTCTATGTTTAGACCTGGGTGTGTTACGGGCAAACTTTGCATTGGAACCACTGGATCTATTGTCGTTCGATATGTGTCACACCGTGCTTGCAAAGCCGGGCGAAGATCCAATGCGAAACACGCGATGCTGATGGGCTTAGGGCGTCGCGTAAGCTGACCAGCGCTTGGGACTTCGTCGAGAGCTATAAGTTGAGAGGCCTTCCCATCACAAGACTCACATCAGCACCAGACAAGTTACCTTCGTCTACGCTGACACAATATGGGTTCCACATTCTCTATATCAGCGATTCTCATCGCATCCGCTAACTTCGTTGGTCCTGTCGATTCTGCCTCTATCGCTATCAGCCGTTCCGGATGGACCGCCACGTCGGACAGTTTCCAGGCTGGCAATGAGCCTTATCGAGCGCTCGATGGGAATGGAGCAAGCTTCTGGCACTCCATGTATGAGCCCGCCCCTGTTGACCCTTTGCCTAACTGGATAATTGTCGACATGAAAGCGTCATATAATGTGAACGCAATCAGCCTGCAACCGCGTCCGAGCGACAACGCGAATGGCAGAATTGGAGGTCACACGATTGAAGTCAGTACCGACAATTCAAGCTGGCAGATCGCCGCTGTTGGTACATACAACAACGATGCATCCACGAAGAAAACCTTCTTTGTCCCACGACCAGCGCGGTATATAAGAATTACTGCAAGGTCCGAAGCGCAGAACAAGGTCAATCAATGGACGGCCGTCGCTGAAATCAACATCTTTCAAGACACGACATACGCCCCACCAGCAGCAGACAAGGGCTTGTGGGAAAAGACCGTGAATTTTCCGCTTATACCGACGGCTGTGGCGTTGCTTCCAAACGGGAAAGTGCTGATGTGGTCGGCGTTCGCGAAAGACAACTTCGGTGGCCAAAGAGGTTTCACTCAAACAGGAATCTACGATCCTGCTACAGGCGAGTCCACGCAATTGGAAGTATCGAACACACAACACGACATGTTTTGCCCCGGCATCTCAATGGACTTCAATGGTCGGGTCATTGTCACGGGTGGCAGCGACGCGGCGAAGACCAGTATCTATGACCCATCAGGAGGAGCATGGAATCCAGGAAGTAACATGCGTATAGCTCGGGGATATCAATCTACTACCACGTGCTCGGATGGACGCATTTTCAACATTGGCGGCTCTTGGAGCGGAGGAACTGGTGGCAAGAATGGAGAAATATACAATGCCACTTCGAATGCATGGACCCTGTTGCAAAACGCTCTTGTCAGTCCCATGCTTACGGCCGATCGTGGTGGCGTATGGCGCTCAGACAATCATGCCTGGCTTTTCGGGTAAGTGGTGCGCGTGTTTGGTATCGTTCGTCAAAATGACAAAATGTAGCTGGAAAAACCAATCAGTCTTTCAAGCTGGTCCTTCTATTGCGATGAACTGGTACGACACTGTTGGAGCTGGTAGCACCACAGGTGCTGGAAACCGTTTGGACGATGGGCACGCTATGAATGGGAACGCTGTTATGTTTGACGCCACAGCCGGAAAGATACTCACTGCAGGAGGGGCTGCAGACTATGAGAACAGGTATAGAAATCAATGTCGGAGACTGTGGGCCATGTGCATGCTAACAGCGACCCCACTTAGTGACGGACGAAGGAATGCGTATGTTATCACCATTGGTGCACCCAAGACAAATCCGACTGTTCTGAAGACACAGCCTATGATGTATGCGCGTGGCTTCGCCAATAGTGTGGTATTGCCCGATGGCACCGTTTTTGTTACGGGCGGACAATCACGACTCCAACCGTTTAGGGACGATACGGCGCAGCTTACGCCTGAACTCTGGGATCCCGCAACTGGGAGATGGACACAGCTCAACCCCATGCAGATTCCGCGAACATACCACTCGGTTGCGATTCTTCTTCCAGATGCAACGATTTTCACCGGTGGTGGTGGTTTGTGTGGTCCATGCACACAGTACGGTGGGGTACCAGACAGCAATCACTTCGACGCCGAAATCTTCTTACCACCTTACCTTCTGAACACTGATGGAACAAGACGTGTTCGCCCTGTCATAAGTACTGTAGGGTCTAGCGTTAGACTAGGTGCAACCTTAAGCATCACGACGACGGGGGTTGTGACGGGGTTCTCGCTGGTCAGGTTCGGCACAGCAACTCACACAGTCAACACAGATCAGAGAAGGATCCCATTAACATCTACTGGAAGTGGCACTACTTATACTGTGACTGTTCCAAGCGATCCGGGGGTAGCATTGCCAGGGTTTTGGTTGTTGTTTGCAATCGACTCTAGCGGCACACCTAGTGTAGGCAAGACTATTAAGCTAGTGGTGTAGAGCTAGAAGTAAATATAAGATATATAAGACTTAAAGTATTCTTTACTACTCTAGTTATAGAGTCTCTAAAGTTGTAATAAATTATAACCTAGAATACAATATTAACAGCTAAGCTAAATATACTAATAGTTATATAACGAGGACTAGGAGCACACGTTCCCTAGAGGAACAAAGTACGCGCTATACATACTTATAAGGCGCGCCTTACTCTCTAGAGTAAAGTAAGAATTATTCTCTTTATAACTTACACCTGTAGTTAAAATATATAAGCTATCTCCTACTACTTCTAGTAACGTAAAGTAAGCACTATTGCCTATAGTTACGCTTTATAAGTTAGTTATAAGTATTATAATAATAGAGTAAAAGAAAAGTATATAAGTAAAGGAATAGATATTTATATATATATATATATAGATAATTTATAAGAATTAAACCTATAACTTAGAAACTATAATAAAATACTATATAATATACTTTTTCTTACTAAAATTATTTAGAACTACAAATATTAAGCTTTATAATAGCTTTTTATAGATAAAAGCTTTATAGTAGCTTTTTAGAATAAGATAATACTTATAGCTTTAGTTATAAATACTATTAGTATACTAGTAGTATAACGCAAGTATAATATAATTACTAATATAATAGATATACTAGTAATAATATGTAGATATAACACTATTAAATTATACTATATTATTTTATAGTAGAAGTATATTTCTAAGTATATAAACCTTACTATATAGCTATAACTATACTAATTTAGAAGTTTTATTTAATATACTTAGGGCTTTACATTTTATATAGCTCTAAAAGCTACTAAAGAAGTAATAATTAGGAAAAGAAAGTAGTTTAAGACTTTATAATATAATTAAATAAGTTAATTTTAATAGATCTTCTTTTCTAATAGTATTAGAATTATATATAATAGTATATAAATAAGATATAAAATAGCTACAGCAAAATTTGCCTTAATATTTTAAATACTAGCTATCTTTTCTACTTAACATACTTTATCTAATAACTTAACTATACTAAAGGATATTACTATATTTATCTTTTTACTATTTACTTAGTAGTATCTAACTTACTTATATATATATTATTCTAAATCTTTTTCTAACTAATATATAGATAAAGTAGCTTAGCTAATTAGATAAGATGCTTAAAAATAAAATAAAAGTAAATTAAAAACAAAAATAAACTTAGAAAAGATATAGAATTAGAAAAAAGTAAAAATAAAAATAAAAATAGACTTTAAAATAAAAATAAAAGTAAAGATAAGATATAAAAATAAAAAAAAATTAAAAGTAAAGATAAAAGTAAAATAATTTTAGAATAGTAGATCTATTTTATTTATAAGTATTAAAAATAACTTTTAATCTAAATTAAGGAACTTTAGAAAGTAAAAAACTATATACTATAGTACGTAATAGCTTTTATAATATTCTTTAATTTTTATAAATATAATTTACTAGCTTTAGCTCTTAAGTTTATTTTATATATAGATAATATCTATTATTTAAGAAATATAAATTCTAGGACTTTATAAGTAAAATTATAAATATAATAAATATACTAGTATTAAAACCTAGATATAATACTATAAAAGTATACTAAATTATATTATAGTAGAAGTATATTCTTAAATACTTACTTAGTATTACTATATATAGCTATATATATACTTATATAAAAGTTCTATAATAATAATTAAAGTTATAAATCTTCTATAAGTTTAAAGAGCTACTATAAAGCTCTTAGCTCTAGATATTTACTATAAAGCTTAATGTTAGAGGAAGAGAGTATTTAAGAGCTTTATAATATATTTATATAAATTAATAATAACTTAGTAGTTTAATTATAAAGAGGTATTAATAACTAAAAGTAATACTAAGTAACTAGAATTTTAAACTATATAGTTTAGACTTTAGAAAATATCTAAATATAGACTTATATATTCTTTTCTATATTTCTATACTCTAATAGTATTTTTTATAGATTTTAAGTTAATATTTATAATAATATACCTTAAGCTAAAATATATAACTATATTATAAGTATAGAGCACCTAGTTATATAAGGTTCTATAGTCTGCTTAATAATAATAATAATAATAATAATAATAATACTAAATACTACGCTATAAGCTACCTATAAATATAGTACAAATTAAGTTATTAATTTAATTAACGTGCTAGTAATAAGACGTAGGTATAACGCTATTAAGTTATACTATATTATATCGCAGTAAAAGTGTGTTCCTAAATACTTACTTAGCTTTACTATATATAGCTAGATATATCTTTATCTAAAACTTTTATTAATTACTACTAAAGCTATAAATCTTATATACTTTTAGAAAGCTACTATAAAGCTTTTAGCTCTAAGTAGTTATTATAAAGCTTAATATTAAAAAAAAAGTATAGTTTTATTAGAGAAAACTATAGTTAATAGTAAGTAACTAG